TGTAAAATGTGGTGCGCTGAAGTTTTCTATGATATAAGGCCTGCTTTCTTTCCTCATCTCTTGAAGTCTCATTTGAGACTTTCCAGTCTTAAAAGAGATTAAAGTGTATTTAAGTTTTTAAAATATATTTTAGAATTACAGAAATGTACCATCATCAACTTTGGAGGACTAGGTTTTTGCATGTACAGCTTCCAAATCAGTTGCTTTAAACATGATAGAGGTTTTATCTTGTCATGTTTCTTCTGAACAACAGAATAGAAAAGTCAGTGGTATGTTTAATGCTGTAAGTGAACCTAATATAATGCTAAATTATATTGTCATTGAGATATGAGTACTTACGAGCCATTTGCTTTCATAATACTTTGATTCCATTTATTTGGGAGTCTAACTAATGATAATTTAATTTCTCCTATAGTATTTCTATAGCTGTCTGAAGTTAACCTTTTAAATCTCTGATAGAATGCTTTTAGTGTTGCATATTTTTGGACTGTTACTTTTTTTTTTTCTTCGCTTTTTTTTTTTTTCTATTTTTACCTAAGAAGTCAAATTTGGTGCAGTTGACCAGGTAGGACCATAATAAACCATCACATATTTATTTATTCTGATCCTTTGTAGGTGTGTGACTGCTTAAAGTAGAAATTCAGCTTTCAAACAAAATGACAGAAGTTTATATTTTTTTTTCCTCACTCTTGTAAATATGTTCCCTTTTTTCATTTGATTTATTTACCATGGTGGTGTTTCTGCTGTCAACCAATAGCATGTGTATTCAGTCTGGAAAATAAACTTGAGGTTTTTAGCAGCAGTCAGAAATTTAAAGCTGTTCTTATTCTACTGAGTATTAGTAGGCAAGCCTGAAAAGAAGGTAGAATTTTGCACTTAGAATCCTACACCATCCTGACTATGTATGCATGTTAATAAAAGTATAAAAATAAGTAAGTGCACACTGAAGCATTTATTGGTATTAGACAAATTATTCTCCATTGCTACACCATATCTTCTCAGCCAAGAGAAAACTAAAGTATTGTCTGGTGTCAGTTCAATAAATATATGTTCTTGACTATTTAAATATGAAAATGACCTATCAGCACATAATGGCAGCGGGTCTCAAACTTACCCAACTTCATAGAGGACTCACTGTTAGTCTTAAGATAACCAACTAGTCATGCAGTGAGGATGAGATATAACTCATATTAAAGGAGACTGGAGCTGATCAGTAAAAAATAGCCTTTATATGAGGACATAGTTAATTCCGCAAAAACTGAGAAAGTGTTTTAAATCATAAAGTACTAGTTTTCATATTGACATAGTACCTGGAACCACTGTTGTACATTAGGGCCCCTTTGCAGCAGGTACTTTACAAACCCAGAAAAAACAAATGGTTGTTTAGTTCCAAAATATTTCTGGAGGAATTTCAGTGTAGCTACCATATATATACTGACATTCTTTTTAAGTTGCTATAAATCCTTTAACAACATGGAAAAATAGATCTCTGTATTTATTTCCAAGCTGTCTGCAGTGCCTTGGGGTGTAACGTTCAAGGATGCTTCAAAAAAAGGCTAAGGTTTTTTTTATAATTGAAGGTGAAAGAATTAGAAGACAGTTTTAAAAGATCATCTTGCTCTAATTTAGACCTTTCAAAAGGTTCTTAACTTAGATAATAATTTGGCATGGAGGATGAGGAGATCATTGTTCAAGTATGTCCTCTAAATTCATGATTTTGGGAGTCTTGCTTTTTTTTCTTCACCTTGGTACCTTGTTTTCTGCTGCTGGATGCCTTGTATCATCCAATAATTGGAAGATTCTACTATTTCTACATATCTCCTGTATATTTTCCTCATTTCTCATGCAACTTTTGTGACCTGTGTATTAAAGATAATTAGAGGTAGTATGTTTGAGGTTTTACTTTGCAGTATATGGGACTACTTATGGTACAGGCAATAGGAGAGTAGAACAGTATGGTTTCATTAAGTGCTGTGTATTTTAACACCTTTGCTTCTCCGAAGAGACTACAGTAATTTTTCCTTGCTATCCAAACTGTTTTTTCTTTCTTTACATCACTGATGAACTTTGCAATATATTAAAAGGGAAAGCTTACAAAATTAAGATTTATGTTTTTTTTCCATGCAAGGTTATGTAATTACTAAATTGACACTACCCTATTGTATGGCTGTATAGGTTTGGATAAAAAAAAAAAACAAACACAAAACAAAACAAAACCCAAGATTGTTTAAAAGAGGTTTTAATAAAGATAACTCGTGAGCTTCCTGGTTTTGGCCACATGTCACTACAGATATTAAACACTAATTTGATACTTTCAAATTCCTATCTAGAATGCAATTATTCTAATTAGTCATACACTAAGAATCCACTAGTCCTGTGGATTCTGTGGGACAATGTAAATGTATACTTAGGGGGTATTCATGAAAACCCAATTATTGTTTACAATCACAATGTACAAGTATTGCAAATGATCCCATTTACAATAATAAATTATTTTAAATTATGAAATTTTCAAAATGTAAAATATGTTTTAAAATATAAATAAGATTTAGCACTAGGCAGACATATGTAAAAATCTAGGCTGCTAAGTCATTGACATTATAGAACATTTTTCCAAAGAACAGAATTTTGGCCTATATACATTGTTTTCAAGTAAACAGTTGTGAGTTAAACTGAGTGTATGAGAAATCAGTAGTGCCATACTCTGTTCATTCTTTTTACAGAGTACATCACTGCAGTATTTTATTCCAGTTGAAATTGAATGTCTGTATAAATTCATATCGCATTGTAAGAATTTACAATGCTTGTTATTCAGCTATGCTGCATGTGTAAAATTTGCTGTCAGCAATCTTTTAAATATTACTGTGTTTTTCCATCATTTTATATAATAACTTTCAGTAAAGAATGTGACTGAAAAAGTATCCATTTTTTGCTGTTGACTGCAGACAGTAATGTCACCTCTGGAGTTGCTGTAGTCTACGCCAAAATACCAGTGTCTTGTAAGAATACTTGAACAGTTAGAGCACACAACTTTTTTGAAAATACTGGTGAACATACGCAGTGTATGGCTTTAGAACCAAATTATCTCCTTTGTTTTGAATTTTCTCAGAAGAGTGAAAACATAGAGCCTTGTCATGGACTGGTAACTTCTAAAACGCACCACGAAAGTAGAGCTTTTGTAATGAGTACAGCACAAATAAGCATATGTAATTTTCATCTAAGTTACTACATTAGAAGTAGGAGAATGATTTAGCTTTGCCTCTGCTGTGATGAAAACAAATAAACAAAAAGAGATTCGGAATTAACCATGTTCTAATTCTTCAAGAACTTCCAAGATAATTTTATATACCTTGTTTTGATTTTGTTCAGTTAAGGCCAATTTTTTTGTGTCATGTTCCAAACTAAGAATGGCAAAAACACATGTAACAATAGTGAAAAATAATACATATAGACATCTACATCTGCAGATACTTCAGTATGTGTAGACTAATACAATAACTTCAGCTCATGTTTATATCTGAAAAAAACTCAGTAATACTAAATAAGGTACTTTTTAAAGCATCTATATAGCCTAAGCTTGATAGAAATGGGATTGGATGGCAGTGGGCAGTGGCAAGCTGTACCTTTCTACCTGTGAGCTAACTAAAAGGCCTAGAATACAAATGCTTCATTTATACTACATTTAAAATTATTATGAAGGAACAGTTAGTACTAACAACTGCATAAATAGACCTGAGGATGAACCACAAAGTCTAAATATGCACAACTGCAGAATTATGTGTGTAAATGTACATTGCCAATGCCATATCCCTTCTGTAAACCAAAGATAAAGGCTGTCAAGCCAATGTTATCTTGCATGTTCAATTTGACATTTACAGCTTTGTTCTGAAAAAGCTATGCAAGGGAAGTTTTTCAAGCTCTTTCTAGTTATTCGTAACTAGATTTGCATTATAACTTAGTGCTCTAGAAAGATATGGAATAGAACAAGAAATAATAGTATTCAGTTGTAGTGCCAAATTTAATCTCTGTCATGCTAGTGAAATCCTCACTAGAATAACAAGAATTAACCACATACCCATGAATACATGCTGAATATATTGGTGATCTGTTGGAGCATAGATTCAAGAAAAGATATGCGCCACTGAAGAAGAAAACCAAACTGGGGGGATAATAAAAAGGAGGAGAGGATATGAACACATTGAACAACTGGAATTCTAATTTATTTTACTGTCTAAAACACAGATATCCAGATAACCAGCCATCTTCATTTTAACTTTTTACTTTAAAAATATTTATTGGACAGCTAAAATTATACTTGTAAAATGAAATTGCTATTCTCTCCAAGTGAGCTTTCAGGCGGCTTCATAGATGAAATAAGGTCAGAGACTTGCAAACTAAAGGCTAGTTTGGTCAGATAGGAGTTCTGTGCACTCTTCCAGCAGATTCCATGTATCTCTTGTCCCATATGCGTTACTGGAATTGAGAACATTTTTACTTACAGGCCTAGAGAAAGCTTTTCTAAATTTGGACTACCTGAAAATTAAAAGAGTAGTTTATAAAATACTTTAAAATTATTAAAAGGTGAAATATTAAACATTATACATCATTGTGTATGTGGTGTATTTTGTTTGTACAGAAGCAAAAAATGAGGCAAATAAGTAATCAAGAGTTGAAAAGAGTATTTCTGCATTTCTGTAAGCTGAAGGATCACATAGTAATTATCCAGTGATTAATGGGGGGGGGGGAGGGGGGCGGGCACGCTGATTGTGGGGGTGGTTTGGTTTTTGTGGTTCTGGTCATCTATCAGATTCATTCTGTTCCCTAGAAAAGCCACTATTCTGATAATTAATCGAAAACAAATCCAAGTTGGTTTCGTGACTGTAACCTTTCCAATAAATTTAGAGTCTATGCTAGGGCCATCTGATCTTTAATAAATATATGTATTTTTAAAAGTGCTCAGTACTGCAACAGTAAATTAAAATTCTGTATGTTATTTACAGGTGCAGACTGTTCAGACTTCACTATCTGAATCTCCAGTGATGACCAGCCCTTCCCAACGTATCCAGATAATTTCCACAGACTCCTCTGTAGCTTCACCACAACGCATTCAGGTAAAAATCCATTGCTTAAGTAACTATTATATCTTTTTTTTCTCCTCCTCCCACTTTGGTTTATACAAAAGCATACTAAAATCTACAGACTTCCTTAAATTTTGTGAGAGCAGATCATTTTTAGTGCAAACTAAAATTCTTTTTTTCCATCTGCATGTATTTGGTGATGACTAGTTGGCTGTATATAATAATTGTATTGATGATTTAGTCAGTGAGGAATATTTGGAGAGGTTAAACTTAGCCTATGTATACAAATCTCCTGAGCACTAGCCGTAACAATTGGGCAGACATTGTCAACAGAACGCCTAAGATTATCTCCCAGGGGATTTGTCTGTCTCTCTCGTATTTAGGAGTCAGTGGGAGACTAGCCCATTTAGGATAGTTAGCCTTTGGGAATGCTGCACAGTGGGTCATTGTTACTGATAGCTAATCTGAAGATACCATTAATGTATCAGAATGTATGCAGTGACAAATGATATAAGAATTGTTAAGTATTAATGTTACTAGAGTCTTCAGTACTGCAGTACTGAGCTGTTGCCCTCTTTGACCTTGTTCTGTGCCAGTATGATATTCCCATGTAGTTCTGCCAGAGGTAGTGCTGGAGAAGAGGATCTTGTACTCCAGGGCATTTGGAACAGTCCTGGCAATGTAGCATTCATCACAGCATGGACTCTTCTTGGGACCCTTGATCAGGGTGGGTGGGCACTGCCCCTATGAACAGCCCTGAAAACACTTTTTAAATTACTCTGATATTGTCATTATACTTACTAAACATGATACAGTTTTTTATGTAATATAATTTTCAAAGATTGAAATTGCAGCATGTATAATGACATACATCATTACTTTTTCTTATGAACCTAAATATCATTCACTTCTTATTCAGACTGTTTTGTCTTATTTATTATCATCAGTGCTTATATCTGATCCATGAAAAATTACAAACAAGTCTCCATGATTTTTCTTTATAGACAACACCAAGGACATATTCTTCAGTTATCAACAACATTTAGCTATGTATTTTATCTAAGATGTTATTTTTTAAAGTGGAATCAGGCAGCCTTATTGCTTCACATGCTGATTCTCAGGATTCTGTTATGATGGAAGGTTTCTATTTTTGATACAGTTGTCTGGTAACATAATCACTATTTTGCCTGGTAGAGTAACCATATCAATATGTATCAATATTTCATTGCAAGGTAGGTGTTCTCGCAACATGTATAACTGAAGCATAATGAATATTCAGCATTAATAAGGTAGGTATTTACATTGCAACTTTTGTTCAATTCTGCAAAATAATCTACCTCCTCACATCGCTGATATTTCTGACAAAAAAAAAAAAAAAGCCTATGCCTCCATGATAAAGGAGAATATTAGGATGAGAAGAGTATTCCTGCTTCCTCAAAACAAATACAGGCAATATCATAGCGGTGTCAGTCATAATCCAAGATTAGATTTTACTGTGAATTAGTAGATTTCACCATTAGTTACGGTCTATATGAAAATGATGGAGGCTGAAGAAATCTTGGCAGGCAAAACTCTGGGGAGCTTAACAACCTAAGTTTTACAACAGTGTGACTGAGGGGTAATGATTGTCCTTTAACCTTTGAGCTCCTTTGGAGATTTATGCTTGGAGACTCCATACACTTAAGGCACTGAATCATTTGTGCATATGAGACCTAAAATGGCTTATTCTGTTCTGTAAATACAAGAATCTAGAGTCCCTAAAAAGCTCGGTCTTGTCCAAAATTCAATAGTAGGTTCACTTCATCCCCAGCTTTGAGTAGTTTCCTTTGTCCATGTTTCTTTAGGCTTGTAATAGCAAAATGTGAGATGAATCTTATCTGACGAATTACTGTAATCTGGAAAAATCATCAGCTGTGTAATACAGCTCCTACTTTGGGTAGTTCTAATGCTTTTTTAAGGCATTCTAGCTTAGTCAAATTATTATCATAGTCTTACTATTAAACTATTATCACAAAAAGGACATGACAACCAGATAAAAAGCCTAGGTAATCAAAATTGGGGAAATAAATACACTGTTATTGTGACACCTAATAGAATCTATTTAATAGGAAATAGCAGTATGTAAATTTACTGCACATTTTTTTTTCGGTAGTATTAATTCTGACATTAAGCCAAATACTTACATGAATGATACCAAAATAGCTTTCATAGGTGTATACAAAATGAATACAAAACTCAAGAATATACCACTATGCTTTTTTTGTCATCTGGAGTAACTTTTAATTTAATGTTTTTATAAATGATCTGGAGGTAGGAGCCAAATGTGCATTAACTAAGTTTGCCGATGATAATCTAGGAGGAGCTGTGGACTCCCTCAAGGGTAGAAAGGCCTTTCAGAGAGATCTGGATAGACTAGAAAGCTGGGCAATCATCAACCATATGAAATGTAACAAGAACAAGTGCTGGATTCTGTACGTGGGATGGGGTAATCCTGGCTATATGGACAAACAGGGAGATGGGAAGCTAGAGAACAGCCCTGTGGAAAGAGATCTGGGGGGTTGGGTTGTTGAAAAGTTGAATATGAGTCAGCAGTGTGCCCTGACAGCCAGAAGGGCCAACTGGGTCCTTGGGGTACATCAAGCGCAGCATAGCTAGCTGGTCAAGGCTTGTCCCACTCTTTACTGCACTGGTGCATCCCCACCTCAAGTAATGTGTGCAGTTTTGGGCACCTCAATATAAGAAGGACATCAAACTATTAGAGTGCGTCCAGGGGAGAGTTACCAAGATGGTGAAGGGTCTTGATGGCAAGACTTACAGGGAGCAGCGGAGGTCACTTGATTTGTACAGCTTGGAGAAGAGAGAAGGCTTGAGAGGTGATGTCATTGCAGTCTACAGCTTCCTCAAGGGGAGCGGCAGAGCGGGAGGGGCTGATCTCATCTATCTGGTGACCAGCAGTAGGACATAGGGAAATGGCATGCTCTGCCAGGGAAAGTTCAGTTTGGACATTAGAATCGTCATATAATCACAGAATGGTTTGGTTTGGAAGCGACCTTAAAGACCATCTAGTTCCAACCCCCTCTGCTGTGGGCTGGGACACCTTCCACTAGACCAGGTTGCTCAAAGTCCCATCCAAGCTGGCCTTGAACCCTTACAGGGCAGGGGCAGCCACAGCTTCTCTGGGCATCCTGTTTCAGTGCCTCACCACCCTCACAGGGACGAATTTCTTCCTTTAATCTGTACCTACCCTCTTTCAGTTTAAAACTGTTAGCCCTCATCCCATCTCTACACCCCCTGATAGAGTCCCTCCCCATCTTTCCTGTAGCTCCCTTTAAGTACTAGAAGGCAGCTACAAGGTCTCCCCAGAGCCTTCTCCAGGCTGAACAACCCCAGCTCTCTCAGCCTGTTCTAATAGGTGAGGTGCTCCAGCCCGCCGATCATCTTCATGTCCCTCCTCTGGACCTGCTCCAACAGGTCCATGTCCTTTATATGTTGGGGGAGAATCTCCTCCCTCAACCTGCTGGCCATGCTTCTTTTGATGCAGCCTAGGACACGGTTGGCTTTCTGGGCTGCGGGTGTACATTGCTGGCTCATACTCAGTTTTCTACTTACTAACACCCCAAGTCTTTCTCTGCAGGGCTGTTCTCAATCCTCTCATCACCCAGCCTGAATTTGTGCTTGGGATTGCCCCGACCCATGTGCAGGACCTTACACTTGGCCTTGTTGAACTTCATGAGGTTTGCACAGGCCCACCTCTCCAGCCTCCCCAGGTCCCTCTTGATGGCATCCCTTCCCTCCAGCATGTCAACTGCAACACACAGCTTGGTGTTGTCACTGAACTTGCTGAAGGTGCACTCAGTCCTACTGTCCATGTCACCAACAAAGATGTTAAACAGCACTGGGCCCAACACCGACCCCTGAGGGACACCACTCATCACTGCCTTCTGCTTGGACATTGAGCCACTGGCTGCAATTCTTTGAGCGCAATCATCCAGCCATTTCCCTATCCACCGAGTGGTCCATCCATCAAACCCATGATTCTCCAATTTAGAGACAAGGATGTTGTGCCGGACAGTGTCAAATTACTAGGAAAGGCTCTTCACTGAGAGGGTGGTTATTCACTGGAACAGGCTCCCCAGGGAAGTGTTCACAGCACTAAGCCTGACAGAGTTCAAGGAGCATCTGGACAATGCTCTTAGTCATATGGTTTAGTGTTAGGTAGTCCTCTGAGAAGCATGGAGTTGGACTCAGTGAGCCTTATGGGCCCCATCCAACTCAAGATATTCTATGATTAATATGAAATTTCTGTAATGCTGTCTCACTAGGCCAACTATACCCTGCCTGTATACCTGCCATTCATCAGCTGCAGTCCTTAACATTACATTTTGTTCTTATTCTGTCTGGAATCCACTCTATCTAACTCCTTTTGAACAGTTAAACGTGATTACAAGATCTCCCCATATGTCTTCATTATTAACAATATCAGACTCGCACTTTTCACAACTCTGTCTAGTATTTTCCATCTATGCAGTAGGTATGTGGATACACAGATATTTTATATATATATTTTTGGTTTGCTTTTATTGTTTTGCACATATGTACGTAGCTGCAATAACTTTGCACCAGTGTAATAAATGTACAAAAGCAAAATCATAAACAACAATTATAAGAGAGTATCATATAATTCTGAGACAGAATGCATAAAGTGTACTGTGGCTTATAAAATTCTTCAATGTGTTTTACAGATTGTGACAGATCAGCAAACAGGTCAGAAAATCCAAATAGTGACAGCAGTTGACTCAGCTGTGTCTCCAAAGCAACAGTTTATTTTAGCCAGTCCAGATGGAACTGGTGCAGGAAAGGTGATACTGGCAGCACCTGAGACGTCTAATGCCAAACAGCTTATCTTTACCACCACAGACAACATTGTGCCAGGCAGAATTCAGGTAAATATGGTAATTGAGATAGACCATGGATGTTTGTTTTTTAAGTTTTGATTTTTAGATTATTTAAGTCTATAATTGCTTTAAGACAAATTGCAATAGTTATCTAAAGATCTAATGACATGGATTGGACCATACTAATTGTAGTCTTAGTTATTCAACCATAAATCCTCCTATCTTCAGGTTCCTCATGCATTCTGTTGTACTTATCACCCCTTGTGTGTTCTCATTAAAATTCTAAAGACATAAGCAAATACTTAAGATGGTGCTTGTGAGGAGTGCCAGGCTTTCAGGTGATCTGTTCAAGATTCACAGATACACAGAGATAAAACTCACCTGAGTAAACTTACGTTCACAATGCAGTATTAAGTCATTGCAGTAAAAGCTCTTTGGAGTAGAAGCTGTCCTCTGTTATAGTTGCTTGTGGGTCTTGAGCATAATCCAGACCAACAGGAGTTTTGCAAAACAAATTATATAAACAATAATCTATCTCTAGTGAAATTTGAGATTTCTTCTTACAAAAAAATAAAAAATGCACCTGGTCCCTGTTTTTAAAGAACAGAATATTTTACAGGAAGAAAGTATCATTCTTACATGAATATTTGAGAAATTGTATTAACAGTCTCCTAAAATTTATTTTACTATGATAAATGGGTTATCTGATGTTACAGAAGAGTGGGATTTCTAAAATTTTTTTGTGTTAAGTGGAATGTTCTAAACAGAAGTTCTGAAATCCAAGGCCTTCAGAAGCTAAACTGTTTTTGTAATGGATCTCAGCTTCAGGCTGTCCTCTGAACTGTATATCCCTAATAGCTAAAGAAGAGATAAATGGGTACAGCATCTGAAATACAACCGTCTTTGGCTAAAATATAGCAGCCATTTGAGAGTAATTGCAAGAAGGGGAGAATACTGTTGACTGCACAAGTGCAGAAACTTATTTCTACTGAACAGAGCTAGGAGGTACATTCAGAATTTGTTTTGCTATGACTGTTTCAACAGTCTTGCTACTGACGGTAAAAACTCTCATTAACTTGCATTTTATACTACTTAATTCCACGTCATACTTTCTCTCAAGTTCAGCCACCTCTTCTCAGTTGATACACCAATCTTGTTCTGTAGGTAAAACTCCTTACTTTCATGTCAGAAGAAAATATTGGCTAACTACCTCTTTTTGTTGTGGAATTTTGTTTTAGATAGTGACAGACTCTGCTTCAGTGGAACGTTTGCTAGGAAAAGCTGATGTTCAGCGGCCGCAGGTAGTAGAATATTGTGTAGTCTGTGGTGATAAAGCATCAGGTAAGGAAGCATAGAAAGTAGTATTCAAGAAACTTGGTTGAAAGGATGACTGGGATGAAGGGAGGAGTTTTCATGTATTATAACTGATTTTAGCCATGCTAATGGCAAAAGCAATTGAGTCTAAAATGGAAAAAGATAACATTATACTTGTGTCTGTACACACAGAATAGTTAAACTCTGCTTGGAAGAATATTAGTTTGTACTTCAACTGGAGTGTATGATAAATCGGCATGTGCTGAAAGACAAAATAATGATTTAAAAGCTCCTGTTAATTGAACGAGTCTATTTGAAGCATTTAGTCTGGTTCCTGACAGCTATGGGCAGCCATGCAATAAACATGTCACCTAGAAAAGTCCGCCTGCTCCAGGAAAACAATTCTTAGTGCTCTAACAAACTTAAGACCTCGATAGCTTTTGGTCTTTTACTATCACAGAAAAAGGCAAGTAGACATCAAATGAATCCTCAGTGTTACAGATCCATGCAGTAACAAGGAGTCTACAAGGTAAAATTTCTACATTAGCCAAGGAAGCAGACTGTTTTCATGCTACAGAGAAAACACCTTTCTGTCTCTCTGTCTTGCTTTAATAAGTGTTTATGTAATTAAAACCATATCAGGATTTACATGTATAGAAATTTTAAATTAAGATTGCATTTCAAATTTCATTGTAAAATTACTTATATTCTGAAATTACTTCAACTCTTAGCCTTTGTGTTCTTCTACTGTAACCTATAATCTATAACAGCAGATAGAGTTGCATCTGTACTTGTCCAGAATGGGAACTACCACTTCACAGGCGTCTCATTCAGAAATAGGCTTAGCCTTCCCCTCTTCTCTCCACTCTCGCACCAAAAAGCCCTGGCAATAGGTAAACAAGAAACATCCTGTATGACTTTAACAATGCTTTCATGGTCCAAAATGATGGCAAGAATACAGAATAAGTTTAAAGGCTGACTTTTACAATATTTCACTTAAGAGAAATATTTCTATGCTAAAATATAAGTAATTTCCATCTAATAATATATATGTTTCCTAGGTCGTCACTATGGTGCTGTCAGTTGTGAGGGATGCAAAGGTTTCTTTAAAAGGAGTGTGAGAAAGAATTTGACCTACAGTTGTCGTAGCAACCAGGACTGTATCATCAATAAACACCATCGGAATCGCTGCCAGTTTTGTAGGCTTAAGAAATGTCTAGAGATGGGCATGAAAATGGAATGTGAGTGTTAAGTACCCAATGTGAAACTGTGCCTGCCAAATAATAAATATGTGGACTACAACTTTTTAGTGTGTTCTATCCATCTCAGTGTATGTTGCTTCAAGGAAACAGAACTTTCGGCAGCCAAAGCATCTACCGTACCCTTCTTTCATCACCATTTTATGTCTGAGGTGCAGTAGTAATTTGTTTTGTACTGTCTCATACTACTGTAGTCTTTCAGAAGCCCAGTTAGAGCCTCACTTAGAATGCATATTACAGTGTATGTTTGTAATACAAAAGATCTTAATATGGATGGACAGAAATCTGAGTCTAATGTACCATGTTCAGAATCTGCTTTTCTTCCGGTTTATTTTTCCTGCTTTTTCAATCAGTGATAGAAAGCAGTTGGTGTCTTTTTTTTTCCTTTTCTTTTTTTTTTTTTTTTTTAATTTTTATATTTAGTCATTTGTGAGCATTGTATTATGAGACATTGTATAAGCTGTCATATTTTAAACAATATACTCTCATGTTTATATGCAGTGCTTCATACTGTTCCAGTACTAGCATCCAAACACCTCTTTCAGTGTATTTTGTTTCCAATTTCTAGCACCTCTGCTTCTTCTCCAGCATTTCATGAAGCCTATTACCCTGGTTGTTTTGTGATAAATTTATGGCGAATTTAAGGTGAAGGAACAAATGCTTTTTTCCGCTCTGATCTAGGCAGGATAAGTCCCAACCACTGAGTTTGAGGGAGGCAGAACTTTAAGCTGTAAATAGGGAGGTCTCTGCTGTATTTGCAGCCTGGAACTTCCAGACCTGTAGTGATAATTGTTGTGCTTTGCACACAGCGTGCTGAGTATGCGGTGGGACATTTACACAAGAGAAATTGCTGCATTTCCAGAAGCTAAACCTTTCCTATCGCAGTATGATAGTGATACATGCTTACTGACTTCATTGGGCATTGGGTCGACGTATCCACCAAGCCAACAAAATGGATATACCTACTTTTAAGCCCCAAAATTTTGCTGACAGTAGCAATATTAGCAAAGATAAAATCAGGAACTAAGTAACTCTTGCTGGTTAAGAGGATGTATTTTATATATATGTATTTTATTGTTATATTCAAAAGGACTATAGAGGAAAGTTGATTTTTTTTTTGTTAGCTTGTTAATAATGTTAATCTTCTAGAGCTGTATGATAAATTGGTACAAAGAATATCACAGAAATATTGTCTCCATTTATATTATGCCTTACATTTGCAAAGTCTTGTGAAAATCAATACTAGTACAACACTTCTAAAAATTCTTTATATTATCCTCATAGCCTTTTACTCATTTTATTATCCTAATTTTCAGGTGAAAAATTACTGCAGTCAGGTGTTCTGACAAGCTGTAGAGGAGTTTGTAAAGTTTAGTGACGTAGATTCCAGATAACTTTCTGTAATCTGTTTAATAATAATACCTTAATATTCTAAAGATGCACTTTTAACTTCCTTTTAAAATTACAAAGCTACTGTTTCTTACTATTTTTATTAAAAGATTTACCACACTTGCTTGGCACATAGGAGACTGAGCTTATTTTCTTCCAGTTATCAAGTAGAAATGTTCTAAGATCTGAAAAGGTTAGTTTTGGAACACTGTTCCCTAACTGGGTGGAATGAATGGATGGGAGTGAATTTCCTATCATGCAGAGACTCATCTCCCAGGGAATTAACCTGCATCTCTCATGTAACTTGCCAGTCTTGACTGTTTCTGGATTCATTCTGGGTTTGCACTGTTTTGAATCATCCAGAGTACGACTGTGCCTAACATTTAGGTATAGCTTTACCTGTAAAAAAAAACAAAAAAAACCACACACGCAAAAACCCCCCACAGAACAAAAAGCAAAACAAAACAAAACTTGAAAACCGATTTTGCAGAATGTTCCATCTTATTAAATGCCAATGAAATAGTGAAATAGTAAGCTTTGACTCCAGTTCAGCAAAACTTAGAGCAAATGATCCATCTGTGACTTCTAGTTAAAAATGTACATAATTACAGGTATGGTAAAATTGGAGCCAGTGTTTCTTTAGTCATCATATTAAATTTCCAGTTTTGCACTGAGCTGATATACCATGTAAACTAAAACCCTACTGTGAGAATTCTACTTTCTTTTGGTATTTTTCAGTTGAATTACTGCCTTTCAAATCTGCATGTTTCTATCTTTATGTAGCGGTTCAAAGTGAAAGAAAGCCTTTTGATGTGCAACGTGAAAAACCAACCAACTGTGCAGCTTCCACTGAAAAAATCTATATCAGAAAAGATTTACGAAGCCCTCTAATAGCAACTCCAACATTTGTGGCAGATAAAGATGGGACACGGTGAGTACCTCAGGTTAACAGGCCTTGTTGAATGTTATTTGTGCCTATTACTTTGCAGGCATACCTGCACTCTGTTTTTTTCCCCTCTGCTCTAAAGAATTGGACAGAAAGCTCCAGTTCACACATCACCAGTTTCCATTACCAAGACCAACCTAGACTGTTCTGCCTCTCAGGAAAGTTTTTATGTCTGAGTATAGCTGAGTGGTTTTCAGTTCAGAGCTGGCTCTTGTCCAGCCAGGTCAAAACACAGTCAGGGCAAATACATGATACTCGGGCAAAAAGCATGTAGGCTTACACTGTGATGCATTCAGGTTAGCAGTTCTGTCAAATCAAATCTGCAAATGGCAGACTCAGTCTTCCTTCTCCTAAACACAGTAGCAAAAGAGACTGCAGTGACTGCTGATTCAGATCCCAAGAGACTGGCTTCAACAAGAGCAAACCAGCAGCAGTTCCCTTTTACTATATGGAAGATATTCTGAGGCGGTTCCCATGCTCTCAGTTGTTTCGCTAGGCAGTGGGTGTGGAAATGCATATCATAATAAGTAGAGGCAAGATTTGCCTTTTTCTGAATAGAATAAAAAAAGAACTGTAGGTTAAATATCACATTTTTAAAACTGTAGCTCCAGTTAGTTTAGGATCTCAATATTCAGGTGGGGGGGTTTTTATATATTTTTTTTTTTTTTTTAATTTTTTACGTATCCATATATTCTTTGTTCAGCAAATGATACTGAAGTTAGGAAGACTGGGCTGCAAATTTCTTGGAGAATTGTTCTCGTTTGCAAGTCAGATTGTTCAAAAGTGTAATGCTCACAGACACGTTTGCTTCTTTGAGATTTCCTTGTGCTACAGATCCCTTACAGTCCTGTAAACATCATTAGAGTCATTAAGTGTGACTTTCTATTATTTATGTAGAGTTCAGATTTGCATAACACATGGTAATTGGCTGCCTGTGGTAGTTCACAATGTTAGTCTCAGACCCCTTCAACTATAAATTCCCTGCAGCCTGAACCTGTTGTGCAAGCACTTGTATTGGCTTATGCAGACTTGGAGTGTTATGTAAGTAACAAATAAACTTACCTTTGCAGACTGCAAAGACATCCCATTGTCTCCCTAAATTAGATACAGCAAAGCTAAAGGATGTTTGGGCAAAAAGTAGCAGAAGTAAAGGCAGCAGAGATTTTATGCAGACCTTGATTACACAAGTGTTTATCGCTGTATTCTGTAATGTAAAATATATTTTCTTGACATAACTTTTTCCTTCAGTGCTGTCCATTGTCTAAGTTGGAATGCAGAGTTATGCCTTCCTCCAAAGTCTAATGCATAACTCGAGAGCTATTAAGTGACTTCTGAGAGCATGAGAAGACAACTTCCCTTGAGACAGAATAAACCATCATAAAAAGCAAATGAGAGGATATCTGTTTGGGAAGTTGCAATTGCTTTTGCACAGGGAAGGAAAACATATTCCAGTCTTCCTGTCTTTCAAGCTACTTTTGGAAACTCTTTCAGAAAGACTTAAGTCCTGATGAATAAACTCTGAACATTGTTAAACTGCTAATTTAAAAATTGGTAATCATCTCTTTTATTCTGACATAGGTTGTTACACATTCTTCTGATTAATGTAAAATACTATTGACTGTCAGATGCCTTATGCTTTTGAACAGGTCAGCAGGTCTTCTTGATCCAGGAATGCTTGTGAATATTCAGCAGCCTTTGATCAGGGATGATGGTACAGTCCTTCTAGCTGCTGACTCCAAGGTATTATTCTTTCAGTTAAGTTCTGAACATACATACTTATTTGTTCGGATTATTTTAGCTGTGTACATAGATACAAATAATTCTTGCTCTTCAGAACATAAGGTTGGGCTAATTCTGAAGATCTGTACAAACGGAGGTAAAGATCTGATCAGCAGGAACATGATTTCTTTTCTTGGGCATATTTCTGTAAAAGGTCAGCCACAGGTAGTTCCCCACATGATATGTCAGCCAAGGCTAGGATTGATGATTACAATAGGATTTAAAGATCATTGTGAGCCATTGTTCTTCCCGTAGGTGTTCAGGGGGAAGGAAAAGGTACATAAGGGAAAAAGAACACAGAGATTAAAAATGGGAGAAATTTATGTATGATACATTACCTAAAATTTTGATCTACTAATACAGTTTTTCCTTTTTAGGCTGAAACAAGCCAGGGTGCTTTAGGAACACTAGCAAATGTTGTAACATCTCTTGCTAATCTCAGTGAGTCACTAAATAATGGAGATACTTCAGAAGTTCAGCAAGAAGAGCAATCCGCAAGTGAGATTACACGGTATGCATTTATAGTTGCATCTTATTTAGCAATCTGTATTCTGTACAGTGTATACTTACACTCACTCATTGAAGTAATTTGACGCTGTGACACCAAACACAGTAGAGATGACACCCTACTTTGAAACCCAAAACCAACTGTTTTGAAATACAGGCTTGGCTGATGTCCTCTTGAGAAGAACTCTGTCCTGTGTTATAAATGTAGTGTTCTGAAGCTAGACCAGATTTTGTACTTGGAAAAATAATAAATGACTAGTTTGTGACCTTGAGAGACTCTGAGAATAGCAACATTTCAGTACTGGTTTATTTGATAGGCTTGTTATATGGTAGCCTATCCTGTGCAATGCTCTTGCCCTTAGACCTGCTGTTTAGGGGTCTGTATTAGTGCAGATTTCTTTTTGAGATTGTGCTGCCATAACACCTGCTGATAGTTTAGGGAAAATGTAGTTAAACTAAGATTAATAAACTTTTTTTTAATGTTTAGAAAGAGTTTGAAGTCTTTGTTGTCTTTATTAGTGAGAAAAATGGGGAGAAAGAACATGGAATCTCAAAATTTCCAGCAGAGCTTGAGATTTTTATGCTTTGGGGTTTTGGTGGGGTTTTTGTTTAGGGGTTTCTGAGAGGGGTGGGAGGAAGGAGTTGGTGGGTTGAAGGACAACATAATTGGGCAGTACAGTGAAATAAGAAAAATACTTGGCCTCAAAACTGTCGTTTCTCAAGTGGGAGATTTTTAAGAGGAGTTGAACTCAAGGATCTTAAGTCTTTTATTTAAACTCAAGTGTGTTGAGTGAACTGATATTTAAAAATATTTGACACTGCAACTTCAATTTATGTCAACTTTGTACTCTAAAAGCAGAAAAAAAATAATCCAACACCCTTCTCCTTTCCCCCTCCCCCTAAATTTCTTAACAAAAATACTGGCAAAACAGCACTGTACCATAATACAGTCCACTGGTATCAAATTGGAGCACAAAATTTTTCTTTAAGCTCTGTTATCATAAGAAAGAAATTTATACTGCCTTATTTTGGCATTGGCCAAGCTACAGCTTGAGTATAAAGGAGTCCAGGGACCAGTAAGTGTTATGTAACTGTCATGTTTCTAAGGCTCTGTCTGTACTGTGAGATCAGGAGAGTCTGGCCATATCTCATCTTTAGGGAAAGGAAATTTGGGCATGTTGTCTAGAAGGGAACCACACTATTCTCCACTGTTCCAAGAAATTGGACGTTAAGGACAGAGACTGCAGGGTTTTATCCAGAGTGCACCTGGTTTTATAATCCTCACATAATCTGTTAAACATTTCAAGGTGAGAAGGAGGGGATAGTGAATGGTAAGTGCAATAGACCCCTTTACTAGTACAAATACTAACATAAAACTATTAGAGCAGGATTTACAATAATAAAAAGTTCCCCCTTACAGGGGAGGTCTTTTACCAGTGATACATCGGCAGATCTATTCCTTTTATTAATGTTCAAATAGTACAGAGGGGCCAGGTTGTAATGAAAAGTCTGACCTTGTGTCTTAGCATAAACAGTTCCTGCATATGTTACCTCTAAGTGGAAATGCTTTATAGTGTTTAATTTGACCACTACTCTGAATTTTTGTAAGGTGTAAGGACGTACTCTTTCATTGTTTATTACTTTTTTTTGTTTGTTTCAGGGCATTTGATACTTTGGCTAAAGCACTTAATACCACAGATGGTACAGCAGCTCATAACTTGGCAGATGGGATGGATCCTACAGGAGGAGGGAATATTCATGTAATCAGTAGAGATCAGTCAACCCCAATTATTGAAGTGGAAGGACCCCTACTTACAGATACACATGTCACATTTAAGGTATGTGCTTCTATAAATGTCTGACTAAACAAACTAACACTTAAGACATAACCCAAAATTAGTTTACTCTGTTTTCTTTAGTCTTATATTTAATTTTGGCAATATAACCTAAGATAACATTTGCTGTTACAAAGCTTCTAATACAATCTTCACTCTTGCATGCTGTATCCAAAGAGTATAGGTGTTATTTTGTAACACCTTTTCACAGACAGAAAGATGCTTTAAAATTTATTTCACTTACCAGTGCTGTTGATAATCACTTTGCATATCATCCATATAGTATGATGTCTTGCTTAATTAGTTTCTAATTCTAGATAGTGTAAAAATTTAATCTAAAAGGCTCCTTCATATAAAGAGAGATTACAGTGCCTTCTTAGGTGCTTATGGTTAGACCACTGAAAAAGGTCTTGCATTTTAGAGATGCTTCAGCTTCAACTGAGTACAAGAAAACACATGTTGATAAACAGTGTGCGAAAAACAAGGGTGTTCATCTTGTAATCAAATTGCACTGTTTCAAGAAATACAAAGATCATTAATGAAATAAGTAATACTTAATGTAGTCAAACTTTTATCATAACCTGCTTATTCCCATTAATGGTGTTTTGTGACTGTAGATTCCTATTACATGACTTTCCCATTTTAGATATTTAGATTTTTAGATTTTATTTTGCTTATTTTTAAAAACTTTTAAAAGAATCTTTTATAGCACTGTGATGCTAACCAATGCTCCACAGAGCAATGAAATTAATAGATTTAATTATTATTAAATCAATATTAAAGCATTATAAAGGAAACATTTGTGCTCTCTCCCACGTAATTACTTGTCTTCTATTTTACATTCCTTGCCAGTAGTATTGAGTTAGTACAGTTTTCCTTTGACAATTTCTTGTCACACAGTTGCTTATGACAGACTGTGAGAGTAGTTTGAATGTTTTCGCTGGTTATTTCATCGATCATAAAAATTGGTCATGTCTGAACTGCATATATTGTTCTGTATTTTTATTTTTTGCAGCTGACAATGCCCAGTCCAATGCCAGAGTACCTTAATGTACACTACATCTGTGAGTCAGCATCACGACTACTTTTTCTCTCTATGCACTGGGCTAGGTCCATACCTGCATTTCAGGCTCTTGGGTAAATGGACATATTCTGTTGAACTGTTTGCTTTCTAATTAATTTAAGCATGGATCTGAACACATTTCAGTTATTTTGAATTTTGAAATGATGATACTGTTTAATTTTTAATTAATTCTTTAAAATGTGTGAAGACTATCTACTATTCTCCTTTCTGAAGAATAAAATAAAAGATGAAAAAGGAGGGGATAACTACAATATCTGATGTCACTGTGGTCACAGAAGCTAAAGCTGAATCAAAAGCAAACGTTTAATTTGTAGAAATATATCGTGATAAAGAACTGGTGAGCACCATTTTATGGATAACCTGAAATGTTTTCCTGTACTTGGCTTATCAATTCTTTTTGAAATACTTGTAATATGCTAATACATGCCTTTTATTAAAGTGATTTGCAATACGTTAATCCATATTATTAATTGTTATCATTAACAGAATTATACATAGGGTAATACCAACCAGATATGAAAACTACCTGCAGTTGTCTGATTTTTTTTGTTGCTTATAGGCAGGACTGTAATACCAGCCTTGTGCGTGCCTGCTGGAATGAGCTGTTTACCTTAGGCCTAGCACAGTGTGCACAGGTGATGAGTCTGTCTACTATCCTAGCAGCTATTGTCAACCATCTCCAGAACAGCATACAGGAAGGTATGTCTTCAGTCTGTGATTCTTATACGTGTTCAGTCCTGTCACCATTACAAGGACATTTGCCTAACGTTTCTCATGAGGTGTTTCCTCATCAGTGGCAGAATTGTTCCCCAGGATCCAGGGGCTGAAGAAGCTGTCTCTTGCATAATTAGCTTTCCTCTGGGGAGCCACGTTTGTGACCTCACAGAGATCTCTGTGCGATAGAAGTGCCCATAAAAGAAAGGCATAAGGCTAGAGGATGTATTCTCCTATCTTCTAAATCTGACTGGCACTATAGAGAAAGACAAGTATATGCTGAAGTTAAATGTGCTCACAGAGCTTTCTTTCCATCCAGATGTAATTTTTTTTCCCTCTTAGAATAATGATGTCTTCTTCCAAACCAAACCAGATTTTTTTCCTGCCAGAACTTCCCTTCTCCTCTTTGCAGTGTAAAACTACAGCATTTGCCAAGTGTCACGAGAATTTTCTTGCAAGTATAATGGTTTTGGATACTGCTATAATGCAGTAATAATTGATGTATTTTGAAGTACCCTCTGAGGCATATAACAACCAATTTTCTTGACACTCTTTAGAATATTTATGTAACTTTATTTTTTAATTCAGTGTTGGCCTGTTGATAATGATGACTATATCTAGAATGGATTATAATCTGTTATGGTTGCTTTTTAAATTCTTTTCTTTAAGGATGCTCCCAATCAGTATGATTGATTAGCATAAAAATAATACTCAGTTTTTAGCAGAAGGAAAAAAAAATACTAGCAGCTTTAATTCTGAAAACCCTGCATATTACATGTAAACTATCTTAAATTTAAATGTGAGTTAAAAGTAGTTGCAGAATACTATTTGGTACCAATTTGATGATTTTTGTGGTGCCATTATTGTGCATGCAGCAAAACTTGGAAAGTAGGCTTTCACAGAAGAGAGTAAAACTTGATTGTAGAACTATAAAATATACAAAAATAGGTAATCTGAAAAAAATGTTTAATATCCTTCAGTCCTAGAAAAGGACATTGTTTTAATCTACTTTATTAGCTTTGTTATGATAAAGTAAATTAGACAGGAATTTGATTATTAAATGGATAGTATACTTTCATAATGGATATGAGAGGGGTGTGTGTTTCTTTTTGTAATTTAAGAGAGCCTGGACAGCCCTGAAAATAATACAAACTGTTGCTCCTTTCCTGCACAGAGAGTCAGTCAAGGTTTTAAAAGACCAGTAGGGAAACTGCACATTGTATGTTCTGCACTGAGTTAGGCTGTTAATTATATCTGTCAGAATAGAGCTGTCTGTTCCACCTACACCCCTGGCAATGAGTCTGTGGAGGAGTAAGTGGTGGGGCTGTTACAGCCTTAAGATGGATCCACTTCTGTTCCCCTGTCTTAAAAAAGAAAAAAGATTAATTTGCTTTATAGCCTGTATGGCCAGTAATACAAAGTTACCTGAGACTGGCCAAGAAAAGAGGATTATTTGTTTTACTATGGTTTGTTGATTATTTGTTTTATTTATCTATTCTGCAAAGTTATCATATTATATTGTGTATTATAACTTTAAAATTCAAAACAAAGTGAAGAAATTTCAGAACTTTATATAGGAAGCATATTCGTGACGAGACTATTTGGAAACTCTGGAATTCAAGTTCACTTTTCAGGAGTATTTCTACACCATCGTTTCCCATTTAATGTAATGTTTTTATTTCTATATTATGTGCATCTTGATCCATCTCGGCTAACCACAAACTCGTATCACAATTCATGTATTTTAGAAATGTATATTATGCTTTCATTCTTATTTCAAGACATTGTGCAAAAAATGTTTGTTCTGTTCAATCTTTTTATTGTGGTTTCAGAAAATATGTAAAATAATCATAAATTACATCAAAGATTCAGTTTAAGGCACATGGGTCTAAGCAATCCTATACACCGTTAGCTGTACAAAGGTAAAATACTTAAGTATCAATGATATGAAAAACTAGCATTAGAGATCATGGCTGGAATAAAATGATTCTGATGTGTTTCTCAAGGAAAGGTTTTATCCCTTGTAAATTGACTTATCTCTGAAGTTTGATAATAGTAATTTGTCTTAATGTAATCTCTAAAGTTTTCATTCTTTGACTAGTCTGCAGAAACGCAGTCAGGGAGGTGTATTTCCCAAAAGAGAAATCTCTCCCTCCCCAGCTGAGCAGCTGATACCACTCAATTGTAACTTATCCACACATAATGTTTTGTTTTGTTTTTTTTTTTTTAAATCAACATTTTAAGAAAGAATATGATGCCAACATAAGACACGGTATTTCAAATGATGGAAGAATGTATGTACATGCATTTGAGTGAATTTACCCCATTGGAAGGAAAAAAGACTATTTACCACAGTAAATTAAAAATTCACTTCTAAAAGTACAGATAGAGGAAAAAGTAGCACTGTTATTGCTGCTCTTCCGTTCGTTCCCAGAATCACTCTAGCCATTTGTAGAATAATTCACCATAATTTGAGACTCTCTGCTCAGAACAGTACATCACTGGAATAAGATTGGTGTTGCAGATTATGCCGTTCTATCAAAACTATGCGAAAGAGTCGCATTCTTTTTGCTAGCCCTGTGTCTGACTCAGCTTTATAAATCTTCACTTCCATCGTTATTTAGGCTATCCTTATATGTTAAGTGGTTTTAAGATAGCATATGACACAAAAGACTTTAAAATGTCACTTCACTTGTTTTATAAAAGGATATTGGTTAATATATCAGATGTACTTGAGCTCACATGATAGTAAGCAACATCTTTTTGTAGATAAACTTTCTGGAGACAGAATAAAGCAAGTCATGGAACACATCTGGAAACTTCAGGAGTTCTGTAACAGCATGGCCAAGCTTGATATTGATGGATATGAATATGCATACCTTAAGGCTATAGTCCTCTTTAGCCCTGGTAAGGAATTTAGTAACCATACTTTTTAAATAATTAGCATTCATATGTTAATATTTTAGCAGTTTTTAAAATGAGACTAATGTCTTGAGACTGATCTGTTAAGCTGCAGATAAACTGATTGTTCCATAGTGATTTATCACAAATGTTAGGTGTTTTAAAAATAACGTTGGAGCAACATATCCATGTTCATTACAGTTCCAATATAGCAGGTATTTCCTGTATACCCACCTTAGAAGACTAGACTCTGGGTTACCTTCAGGTGAGAATCTCTGAGTACCAAGCTGTCTGGGACATGTACTAGCAATATTAGTGAAGTAAACAGCAGGAAGGATTAGAGGAAATACATTCTCACAGTGACAAAAAGAAATTGGCTTAAATTTTAATATTTTTATTATACTCCTAAGAGGGATCGCTGAAATATGAGCAGAAATACCACTGTATTTTATATGGAACTTCCACAAAATCTCCAAAACTAAATGTAAACAGGCTGTCTTTGATTTGTTACTGAAAAAGACAGCAGACAACTAAAGCATGATCAACAGTGTTTATGAAATACGAGGATTTACTCAAGACCCTCGAGATTATCTGGAATGATAAGGTAAGAACAATAAAGAAACGGGAAGGTGGAGAAGTGTTCCTAGGACACAGAAAGGTTAGTTTAAAACTGTTGACAGGCTAAGCAAAAGGAAGCTCTTGCTCAGAAATGTAAATTACTTACTTGAATTCAAATGTGTTTACCACTTTGAATTTAACAAAATACAAAGAAAAGGAGTATCTTCTTGTCAGGGTTTTGTTTTGTTTTTTTTTTGCATTGACATTATTTTTCTCTTTGTAATAAAACTTACTGTAATTAGAAGATACTGGTGTCTTGAAATTTGCTTTTGAATTTTTTTGGTAGATTGTACCATTAGGGTTAGGTTTATTAGGGTTTTTATTCAAACTGGAGGAGCAAGAAACTACAGACTCAAGTTATCTCTGTCCCATTTCAAGGGAAGAGCAGTGTGAACACAACACTGAAGATATTTGGGCATAGTCAGATATGTGGTATCTTCTGGTGTTTTTTTTGGTTTCGTTTGGTTTGGGTTTTTTCCTGATTATGTGACACTATTTTTGAGGTGCTGAGCCAGCTAGAATTAAAACACGAGCCAGACTTGAGAAGGTCAAGAAATTGATCTGTCAAGAAAACAATCCTAGCTACTGATCAGTCAGCATAGTTAGCTGAAATCACAAAGGCAAACACATTTTAAAAAATCAGGCTTAGAAACATAAACTAGGGGTGTCATTGCCTGGTACATAACTACAGGCTTAATCTTTTTGCTCTTGTGGATACACACAGCTATAGAGGGAAAAGTGAGCAACCTAATTCTGAAGCCAGGAAGCAAATGTTCAGTTGAGTGGTTTCCTTTATACAGCTAACATGTTAAACATCATAATACAAGAGAAATATTTAAATGAAATTAAATGTGAGAATCTTACAACTACATATATTTCACAATGTATAGGGAAACAATCGACATACAGAAATGTTTTGTTTCTTTAGATCACCCTGGTCTGACCAGTTCAACCCAAATAGAAAAATTCCAGGAGAAGGCCCAGATGGAATTGCAGGACTATGTACAAAAAACCTATCCAGAAGATACTTATAGGTATTTATTGTCTATAGTACCCAAAGTAATATTGTGGGCTGTAGCTGGAAAAAGTACGAAATAACATCATTGATGTACAAATTTACTTTTTGACATCTGTTATTTTTTGACTATTGAAGAGAAAGAACTAGAACCTTGTTCATAAAAGCAAGCAGTTTTGTTTAAAGATAGGTAGAAGCAAGAATAGCTGTCTAGCTTCTTCCATGTAAATGAAATTTGAGTACTTTGGTTTTGTTTTTGTTTTGAGAGTCTCATTGCCATGTTTAGAAAAGTAAACAGACTTTACTAGAAGTCTAAGAACAACTGCCTCAACTACCCCAAACTTCTTTAATTCAAACTGCCTCCTTTTTCAAGTTAGTTGTCAAAGAGGCTTTGAAATAATAAAAGGCGATAAATGTTTGTCGAGTTACATGTGCAGAAATGTATTAAAACTGTCAGTTTATAAACCTTGGAAAAATAAGGACTAAATGTGAGGAACAATAACCAACTCTTAAGCTTCTGTTTATAAGAAATTCCCACATCCTACTTATTTTGTCCTTTTGTTTGTTTGGTTTTTTGTTTGTTTGTTTGTTTTTTATTTATTTTTTGTCACCTCTCAACTGTTCCTGTTTCTTGCTAGAAATAATTATCCTATTTTCTAATAGTCTCTATCAAAAATATTTTAAATTTTATCAACACAATGATTCTCTGTACTACAAGGGAAACTGTAACTTCTGTCTAGCAATAGATCCTAGAATGTATCTTTTACTATCAAAGATATCCTCATGTAAAGGAGCATGCAATCCCATATATTTATGCAAGGTGTGAGGGTAGTGTAACTTAAAAAAAAAAAAATCAAAGCAACAAATAAACAAAACAAAGCCTGTAAATGACAGAACTTCTCCCACCTCAAAAACTGCTTTCTGCACTGATCTTACAGAGTGTGGGGCATCAAGATTCCCAGTTAGGTGCAGTGAAGATGGATTCTCTACTTCAGAAATATCTGCATATCCCACATTCTTCTTCTGCATACAGTTCGATTACTCTGGTTTAATGGATGAGAGCTGGATATCTGTCATAAAAAGAAATACGTGTTCAGTATACTTACTCCTCTTAATAGTGGCTTAAGGAAGAAAACCAGAGTTACATTTCCCAAACAGTGTCCTGTATTTTAATTGATATTGTCTATATCTCCATGCTCACCCATAGATAAGTTTAGAGTACAAATCTGATTATTTCTGAACAACTGAATGCTGGCACAAATTGAGATAGAAACACAAGTGTTATAATTTTTACAACTGCAGAATAGTTTTAATATCTTCACAATTTTTCCCTTAAGTTTACAAGGTATGGTATATTAGCAGAACAGACCTTATATATTTTCTCCATTGATATTTAAGCATTTTCCAGAGGCCTGCATTCAGTGCTGCCTAAGGTTTGCTATTACATGGCTCTTGTTCAGGAAAGTTTTTATTTTGTGATGTACATCTGCCATATAAACACAGCAGACATGCTTTCATCACTGTCCTAAATTTCAGATGCACCGCAAGTCCAGAAATGCAGTATGATCACTTTGTTATATTGGATGTCTGTTAACATCCTGGTACATAAAAACCCACAGCATTTGATAATATGTATGAGTAACAGCACATCCCTCCAAATTCATTTTCTCATCAGAGGCAAATTCTCTTATTTCCTTTTATATATATCCAGTCCCATTCTTGCTGTCTGGTTTGTCATTAAGTTGCTAGGCAACTCAGGGCTATGCTGTTTATGGTTTAAATTTTAATTAAGCGTTTTACTCGTAAAACTGTGCAAATGTGTTCACTACTCAGTATGAATAGTTTCAGCATTGTCCTGAACGATGAAGTGCTTCCAGAGCTGGGAATTTCAAAAGCAGACCAGGAGAATTGGGTGTTTGTACATACACGTTGTATCTACGAAGGGCATTAATATGTCATTTTCATTGGAAAACCACAAAGATGGTGACTTTTCATTTCACTTGCAAGACAGAAAAGTAACCATTCTTTTATGGTAGATCAATTAGCTTTAATTGCCTCTTCACTCTCACTCATGAGTTATGGTAATAATAAAAGCAGATCCAGCTCTTCAGCCACTAAGTATTTTAAACTGGTATTATATGTATTTATAATCCACTGAACTTCTTTTTCAGGCTAGCCCGGATTCTAGTACGCCTCCCAGCACTTAGGCTGATGAGCTCTAGCATTACCGAGGAACTATTTTTTACTGGTCTCATTGGAAATGTTCCCATTGACAGCATAATCCCCTACATTCTCAAAATGGAAACAGCAGAATATAATGGTCAAATAACTGGCACGTCTGCATAGTGGGAACAACACAGTTTGATGGATTGAAGTAATTTTCATAAAAACATACAATTACGAAGCTAAAAGAATAGCATTTTGGTATGTACAAATATTTCCAACTTGTTATCAGTTTCCTGTCAGATTTCTCCTTGTCTGTTTGCTGACATTGACAGAACTTAAGCAGCAATTAAAATACCTGCTATAGGACCTTTTCTGCCACAAGGAATATTTTTGATGCCTTTCATTTAAAAGGCTGTAATTACAGAACATACTTTTCACATGCTTTGTATTTAGAAATTACCAGTGGTGAAAAATAGAGTTTTATAGTATCAGAGATTAGTAATGAAATTACTTTAAAAGTAAAAAGAACAGTATGTATATATTTAAAAATATCCTTGGAATTAATACCTAATAAATGCCAGGGTATAATACTAGCACTTTGTAAGCACTTCATGTCAAAGTGACGACGTCATTGACATCCTGCTTATGAGTATGGAAAATGAAAAAAATTGCATATGTTCTTAGTCAAAATTCTAGTGATTTCTGTGAAAATGTAGGAGACAATCATTTATTCTACAAAAATTCACTTGCTATTATGCATGAAATATTAATGTGGATTCTCAAATCAGATATCGACATATGAAACTATACTCTGTTAAATTAATGCAGTTGTAATTCACAGTACGATGCAGTCATAGTGACTATTGCGTGCTACAGGAATTACCCAAGCTAGAAGAAAAAATGTTTTTCTTGCCACGGTGATGATGAAATATTCAGGTTCCTTAAAGTTTCTGTTCAGTCCAACAAAGTCATGACAAACGTTATTCTAATAGGAAGCCTTCTGATTGTGGGGAAAATCAGTCATTAACTGGAAGAAGAGTCATTTTCAAGTAGAGCTGTGTGATGTTAACTTAGAGTATGCTCCTTGTATTTTGAAATTTACTTCTCTGTACTCATAAACACCCTCATCATCCAGTCAAATGTACAATTTAAACCCTGAAATGTGTAGAACCTCTGGCTGTCAGCGAGAGTACATTACAAAGCGCTCTTACTTTACTTCTCCCCATCTCCCTCCTCTTCTCTGACTGAGCACTCCCAGTTTTACAGTGCTCTCAAGCTTCCTATGACTCACTTTGAAATTGAAATGTAGTTTGAATTTACAGTCAGTCATGTACAATTGCAGTTAATGACTGATACACCAGAGAGTTATAAAATTATCTGCCTTTTAAGTGTCTAGAGTGATGAGCCATTAACATGTTTTCTAATATTGGCTGCTAGCATTGCTTTCATTTTAGTATTTGTTATTATAGGCATTAAATATATCAAGCAATCAAAGTTTTAAAAAAAAGTCACAGAAATTAATACCTTCATCTGATCTGAGTTCATTAGGTGCATCAGTTATTTTAATTATCTTAATGGTAGAAGCATCTTCTACTTGTGTATTTTTATATGACAAAAATCTAAGTTCAGCACTTTTGTTTTTCTTCTGTTACTGACATTTATTTAGAAACACCAGCCAGGTTGGTGTTTGTGTCTTTTAAGGGTCTGTATTGTAGCCAAAAGACCTTAAGCAGCTCTAGATGAGGCTTCTGATGTAATAAAAAGTCCTGACCTGGTATACTTCGTTCTCATTAGGAGGCTCACGTTTGTAGCACTCATTGTGACACAGAAGGCTATTGTAATTTTAGCTTCTGGATGCATTAGTCTTCTACAGTTACCATTGTTACAGCATTCAGAATCTTCTATTCTCTGTTACAAAGAGTCCAATATATGTGCAAAGATTTGCAATACTGCTTTTTAATTTCTCTTGACTTTTGCTATAGCAAGTGAAATTTTCATATTTTTAGTGTGATGGAATGTTCGCACTCTGAATGTTAAGTCAGCTCAAATGCAGAATTTTGTACTAGCTGTGTTGTTGCAGTGTAACTTCCTGCGTGATAGTGTCAGCACTTCTGATGCAAAAATCCCTGTTTTAAGGATATACAACTTAAAAATTAATTGTGATATTAACAACATCAGAAGAAGTAGTTACCTTAGAAAGAGTTGTCGCCGTTTTTGTGAAAATTTAAAATTTTATTGGGTTACATCATTGTTGTTCTAAAAGCAGAATGCATTGAACTATTATGATATTTTTAATTGAAAAAAAAAAAAGATTATGCAGTTTATTTTGCTTTCAGTATTTTGTAAAAATAATTTAAGCTGATAAGGAAGAATTGTTAATAACAAATGCAATATTCCTTAGCACAAAAATGAGCCATTGGAATATTTTTTCCCAAATTTGAATACACACCAGCTGGATTTTTCATTATTTCATCATTTCAACTTCCAGTTTTTCAAGTAAAGGGTCCCATTTTCTGTGCAAAAATCTGTTTTCCTAATTTTTCTTACTTCTGCTGTGAGCATAACAGTTCAGGGAACAAAATAAAGCCACTACAGTATTTTGGGAACAGAGGGATCCCATGAACTAAAATGTATGCATCGTATTACATTTGTAAATCAGAATGGTAAATATCATGCAGCTCTGTTTACAAATAAACTACACTCCCTACAGATGTAAGGCCACATAATGATATCCTTGATCCATCTCTGGTAGTCACTTACTCTGCAAATAGTTCCCTGAAAATATCAGTTTGTATAAATGAACTAACAATGCAATCCATATCTAGGGTTTATTTATTGTGCATGCATTTAATGGATTAAATGAAGCAGTTCCATACTTAAGATTCTGGTATTGTTACCTAAAAGCTATAAAGTCTCCGTTTTGCTGGCTTGCGTTAGTCAGAACCTAGCTAATTTAGTCCTTATGCCATTAGTAAAAAGTACTTTCTCTAACTATACCCTGTCTTGATTCCAAGACTAACAGTTTCGACTGTAGAAATTTGGACAGCAGATGGAAGATCCTAGAGCTTAAGGAATATCCAGAACCTAAAATGTTTTGCATATTTGTATATTAGCGATACATACTAAGATAATGTGATGAAAAACCTAACACATCTTTCTTGCATGCTGCTCAAGGGCTGTCATAAAAATGAGCCAAAGATTTGGCAAATGGTGGAGAGACACTGAAAGGAATCACTTAAAACACTGCCATATAAAACTATAAACTATATTCTCCAGTGCAGTAGGGTTCCTTTGTGCTAAATTTCAAGTGTAATCACAGACTAGTTGATGTTGGAAGGGGCCTCCGGAGGTCGTCTGGTCCAGTCACTCTGCTCAGGCAGGGCCAGCTAGAGCCAGTTGGCCAGGACCAATTCCAGGTGGCTTTTGAATATCTCCAAGGACGGAGACTCCACAGCCTCCCTAGGCAACCTGTGCCAGTGCTCAGTCACCCTCAGAGTGAAAAAGTGTTTCCTGATTGAGGAAACGCCCTGTGTTTCAGTTTGTGCCCATTGCCTCTAGTCCCATCACTGGGCACCACTGAGGAAAGCCCGATTCCATCCTTGTACCCTCCTTTCGGGTATTTATATACATTGGTGAGATCCCCGCCTTCAGCCTCCAGGCTGAGCAGTCCCAGCTCCCTCAGCCATTCCTCACAGGAGAGATGTTCCAGTCCCTTCCTTCATCATCTTCATGGCCCTTTTTGGACTCTTTCCAGTATGTCCATGTCTCTCTTGTACTGGGGAGCCCAGCACTGGGCACAGCACTCCAGGTGTGGCCTCCCCAGTGCAGATTAAATGGGAAGGATCCCCTCCTTCTATCTGCTGGCAATGCTTTGCCTAATGCAGCCCAGGATGCCGTTAACCTTCACTGTGGCAAGGGGGTGTTGCTGGGTCACGTTCAGCTTGGTGTCCACCAGGACCCCCAGGTTCTTTCCTGCGGAGCTGCTTTCCAGCTGGGTGACCCCCACCATATATTGGTGCCTGGGGCTGTTCCGCCCCAGGGGCAGGGCGCTGTGCTTCCCCTTTTTGAACTTCATGAGGCTCCTGTTCATGAGGCTCATTTCTCCTGCCTGTCAGGGTACCTCTTGGTGGCAGTACGGCCTTCTGGTGTATCAAGCAGTGAAGCTGCTGCTAATCTATCAGTGATCTAGGTGTAATCGATCACTGAAGCTGTTCTAGCTCATTCAAGGAAATATTTTTCTTTTCACGTCCATCAATAAAGACAGGTGTTCAGGAGGCATAGAACTGATGAAGGGATTATTTCTGACAATAGTTTAGGTGTTGCTTGGTAGCAATAGAAAAAGGCACATCTGAGGAAAATGGGCCTCACAAAGTTGTTCTTGCTCTATGTTAAACTTCGACGTTATTTTTAGCCTCTTCTGGTGATTGGGCTTTCAGGCTACTCTTAACATAATGAAGGTAGAACAATGTACACAGTACAGTTGCAGACTCAAGCAAGTTTTAAACTATCTGCAGAAAATACTACAACGCTGGTACAATTCTTGTCATTTCTGAGGTTTGTTTCATCCCACCTGCCAGTAACTGGAAGATGGTAACAGGCTAATCTTACTAGCTTGACTTCTAAATTAGTTTCATTTTGTTTCTTCTTTGCAAGTGAAAACTTCTGCTTATGAATATGGAACAGGAGAATTTATTAGTATTATAAAAATGACTGAAAAACTATTTCTTCATTTTAAGTATGGAAATATCTTGTTTTCATGAAGGCCAAATTTCAATGCCAAACTTGTGTTTACAGAACTAGGAATCAAAGGATCACAGTGTGAAAGTGATTCTAAGAAAACTGACATCTCACTGAAGCTCTACTTCGTGCCTAAAATTCACTCTTTGCAGAATTTCTGAGGCCCTGTTTCGGCTGTTCTTGAAATGAAAATACTTTAACTCACTAGAAATATAGTGACAAACTATCTGATTAGATCTATCTGAACTTAAGTACATGTTTATATGGATAATAATTCATTCAGACAAATGTTAGAACTCTGCTGACGGAAACTGGGGCATGCAGGAAGAGATAATGAAACAATAATGTCCATTCTCCATGTGTTTCATTTGTTTTCCAACTCTTTTGAGAAGGAACTGGATTTGAATCTTGTAGATAAAAAGAAGAGTGATCAATAACTGTGTAGGAGCATTTGGGGTTAGCTTTGTAATAATGATTTTTATTGCATTTGTGATGAGGGCTAGAAGGTATGCTACATTTCTTCCCTTAATTTACTTACAGTGGACTAAAGATACAAAGAACTAAGACCATGTGCAAAAGTCATCTTTCTCTGCCTATTTACACTGCTTGTAAATTAGATATAATGGCTTTTCATGCCAGTGGAGTTACTCTGGCACTGAACAGGTAGAAGAGGAAAAAATAATTTCCAAGGAGAGATCCTCCAAAGAGATCGTACAAGCCTTTATTTTAGGTGCTTTAAAACATTAGATTATTAAGGAGACTTAGTTTTCAGAGCATGCCGGGGCAGTAAACTATTGTTGGTTACCACTGATTACTTGCTGTAATTTACCAAGTCTCTTTTTACCATCCCCTGAAGCACTTGGCCCTCAGGGCAGCCACAGTGCCTCCAGTGAATAGCACTGATTTAAGATTTCTGTGCTGAATACAGCTGACTCAGCATTATCATAACAGTTCCCTTTGGCAAAGGGCATATTCTGAGGTGTGATAGGGAAAACAAATCAGGGCTGAAGCTTCCAGGCGAAACCGTTTTCCTGATTCTGTTTCTTCTTTGGCAGAGACTGTAAAACACGCCAGTGTTTGCACTGTTGTGTATAGTACACAGGACTCGCACAGATTCCTGAATTACTTCATCCAAGAAGCGGAAGATGTCAGTACATCTTCCTGCCCATTAAGAGTGTAGTTAGGGTTCTTCCCTGATTACCTGCTGTTTAATTAGTAAGGGATAATTTTAAAAAGCACCAAATAGCATGAGTAACAAGGGTATCAGGAATACAGTTGAGCCAGGAAAAGGGAACTGGAAATTACCTAGCTGAAGTTACTGCCAAAGCAGCAGTGATCAAAGCAGCTTTATGCAGTAACAGCACCAGTCAGAGGCCCTGTTTGAACTGGGTGGTGTGAGCAGTAGAACTGGCAGGTCAATCAGACATATGCGGATGCATCAGCAAACACCTACAGGGTGGTATCACCCTGGGGAAAAAAAAAAAAAAGTTGTTTTTCTATTTGAAATCCCTCTTCTTTGGTTACTCTTTAAAGTGAAAGTGCATGGTAGGTTGGTTCTTTTTCATCTACTCTTGCTGACAAGAGAAAAAACAGAAGCACCAGGCAAACAAGTAGGTTCCCATCTGTTGCAGTAGTTTGCCACACTTGCCATACGACAACAGAACAGCTACTGTGGTGGTTTGCTCTGATAAGCGTGGGCCTGCTGTGAGAGCAGCACACATCTGCAGTCCTAATGCCGCCATGTACCAGGGAAATCACCAAAATGAGGCCATGTTCACTCTGTAGAGGAGAGTAAGGGGCACGAGGAGGTAAAATTGCCAGCATCTGCTGGATCTTGAATGACAGAAATTTAGTTTTTAAAACAGCTTTACATGAAAAATTACCAAGAGGGCATGGGAAAGAGGGGAGAAAATGAAAACACTTTTTGCACCTTTTAATTCTAAGTGGCTGAGTCATTTTAATAGTAAATTCTCCTGAGCCAAGTTCAGGCTTACTGTTTGATGAAAAATGCCATAACCCCTCTTGTTAGATAACGCTACAACCCTACTTCTGCTGCAATCAATGTTACCAACATTATATGGAAAATTATTTGTGCAAAAATGATAAGAACATTATTTATTCAGAGGTTGCAAGTTGAACTCTTCATAAAGTTTAACTGCTCCAAGTCTAAATACATTAGACTTGTAAAACATTAAACCCAATAATTACCTTATTACTGATCTTTTGGATGTGAAGTCATCTTGAATTCATCACAGATAGTGCTGTCATAATGTTCCAGAATTCTCACAGCCTGTTTTATCCTCTTAGTTACACAGATGTTTTCAAAATGGCTTATTATTGTTAAATTCATGCCTGCCTTCCTTCTTTTTTAAAGGGTTTGATAGATTTTTACACAACTTTTTATTTTGTGCCTCCTACCATTGTGCATTTCTGCATGTTCAGTTCTAAAACTCACTCGAGCAGCTAATGCATATGTACATAGTTGTATGTATGTGTGTATGAATGTATGTTTATACCTATCTGTCTAAATATATTATGTACAGTGTATAGAAAGTGTGTAGTGTATGTATATATGTACAGATATGTAGCCATGTATTCATACCATTCTATATGTTTAAACTTTTCATTCATTTGCTAATTCAGAGCTTCCTAGTTTTCATTTCTTAGCCCAAACTAAGCCACACTTAAGCAGCTGAATGGTCATGAATTTCAGAGCTTTGCACCTTCTTCTAAACCCAGCCTGAATTCAGTATTTTCTGTTCAGAACTGACAAATAATTCCATTAATTTTCTGGCTTTTACATTACTCCCTTTACCTTTTCTTATTTGACATGTAGAAGTCTGCCAGTGGATAATTAATTGAGCATATAATGTCTGTTAAAAATAAATTAATAAATAAATAAATACAGTCATAGAAAATACTTCCCTATGTTTGATATATACTCATTCTCTTTCAGCCTTCTGAGAGACTTTTTTGTAAAGTTTTATTTTGCAGTGCAACTTGATAAGAGATTGATTATTTTTTTTTTTTTTAAGTCTTCAGCAGTGGCTAATTGGAAGAAAAACAAGTTGCCTTTTATCACAGAACAGGATGCAATGGATGCTGTTCAAAAAATCAATACTCATATTGCCATAATGATAACATGAAAACAAACTGTTAGTTAAACAAAGACTATGTCCTCCGTTCTAGGAAACAATATTTCTGTTACAGTAGTAATTAAATAAGAGGGAGAATGCAGTAGATGTCTTAGCAAGCATCAGGACTTATTTAGGATTTTCACAATGCATTTCAATTGTATATTCACTTTCCAAAATTATCCTCTTCATTGTCTAGCTGAAATTAAGCAAAGCTAGTTAGTTCATTTAGTTGTCAGTCTAATGTCCGTTTTCACATACTGTCCTTTCCTGAAACTGTAATCTGTGCAGATCTTGCACTGTGTGTGTGAAGTTTCCGTTGTTCACATGGGAGCTGGGCACATGGAGCATTTATGAAATTAGACTTGCAGTAAGACAATTTATTACTCATAGGGAGTATTCAAAATTTAAATTATCAAAATATAAGTAGTTCTTTTTCCTTTTCCCTTCTGATGACTTAAGTTACAAAGGAAGCCTTCTGTAATTCTATTAACTTTGGGTTTTTTTACAGACTGTGTAGGGGAGTAGTTCATCAAGTCTTGTTTCTGTCATATTAAAAAGGTGAAGTGGAATTTTCTGGGTATTTATTTCCATCTTTTGTACTCAGTGTGGCAAAGACTTGTGTAAGTTTAAGCAGATGAGCAGACACCACTTAAAATAATGTGAGCTTCTTGCATGCTTAAAGTAAAACACAAGTCTCTTTCAGAGTCAGGCTCTGATTGTAAAGTCTTTGCTATGGAAAATGCTAAGAATCTTCTCTATGTCTTGCTATATTGTTTAGTAAGCGTTTGTAAGCTTTTGTTTCAAATACAGAAAAAAATGTGAAAGATCCGTTTTAACATTTCAAACCTTATTTTTGAGATTTTCAGCAGGAAAATGATTTAAATTAATGACAGGGATTCCTGTAACAGGTGGTCCTTCATTGGTGTCTTGACAATCAGTGTTGTTTGAATAATGTTTGCTTTTTTCTTTAAAGACTGAATGGAATCCTGAATGTCAGTTAACGTCATTGTACTGCAGTAACATTTTTCAAGATTAGAAAGGCAATTGGGGTATTGATCAGGACTGAATCTGTTTAAATTAATTTAGAAAAAAAGAGCATATTTTAAAAATGTGAACTTGTTTTATATACACTTTTGAATTGTTTGTATTCTGAAAGACAAAGTGCTCTCAAATTTAAGTGGCAATAAAGGCTCTGTTGTAATATTCTGTGACACTGTGGAATGTCACATCAGCTTTCTGTATTTGATCACAGAAGGCAAAACCCTGAGAAGCACACCTCTTGCCAGGTGTCTAAGAGCCCTGAATAACTAGCTTCACACACATTTTTTTTAAATGCTCTTAGATAAATGATAGTAAGGCACAGGTCCATTTAAAAATATTTTAAATGATTGTGGGTTAAAAGTAGGACTGAATAAATTTAAAATAAAAAACATATCCCTTAAGAGCCCTTACAGAGCATATATGCTAAATTTCTCATGGAATTGTTAAATGTAGGAATATTTTTAATAATTAATCTGTACTCCAAAATACATTGCAAGCCCGTGTTCAAACAGTTTCATAACTGAAAAACTGTACATTGTGTAAGTGTTGTATGTATTTGGCATACCAGGGAGTTCTGAGCTCCTACAAAAATAGCAAATTTTTATAAAAGGAATCATCTACTTTTAATTCCTTGGGATATTTTCTGGAAGTCTCTGTTAATTACAATTTAGAAAAATTGTTAATGTTATTGTATTTTAAATTCAAGTTTAAAACCTTGCAAAAGTTGTTAATTTCTCACAGCTTCTTTTGTGAAATCAGCATTGTTAGATGTGATAGCATTTAAAAATAATAGCATGTTCTTTTTTTAATCTGATTTTTATATCTAATCAGTGTCTTCAATCATGAAGAGGAATTTGCATTGTTGTGTTTGTATATAGAGTATTGCAGTGCATGATTTAGCTTATGCATTTTATTAAATGCTGTTTAAATGTGGCATTATATTGTTGTGGCTTAATACTACTACCTAAATCAGGTTTATACCATTAAAGTAAATTACAAATATAAATGCATTCTTGAGTTTTATTTTTAAGTTCACTTAATTTCTTCTTAAACATTAGGTGTCAAAGCTAAATACATAATTTACTCTCTTTTAGGGAGAAACAGTATTTTCCCTTCATTACAGTGATTACGTTACGAGTGATTTAACTGGATTGAAGACAGAAGATAAATCACATGAACCCTATTGACATGAGGGAGCTGCTTCTGAAAGGAGAAGGACCTTTTCCTAATGGTTTTATTTCATCTTCTCTAGCTTTCTGTTTTTCTCAGTTTTTTTAAGGAGATAGTTAACTAATAATAGACAGTGCTTTATGTTTACTTCTATCTAGTAGCTCCTTCATCTTCCCCAGTTTTTAAATTAAGGTGATGCACTGGATCTTGTTTTAGTTCCCTTCACACACATGTATTGTAACAGAGGTAATGAACTCGGACTCTATTCCAAACAGTAAATGCATTCTCCATTTTCTATATTACATGGTTGAGATGCACCACATGTATTTCTATAGAAAAGACAGTTAGCTTCATTGCTTGTTGGTGCTATTAGAAACTGCACAATTTAGACAAGTTTCACTTAGCAGAAATGAGGGTAATCAGACTTTAGGTTTCAGTTGTCAAATCCAGGTGTCTACAAGAAAGAAATGCATGGAAAAAAAAAAAAAAAAAAAAAACCAAAAAAGTCCTTTTCATTTAGAGGCCTACTTGTGAAGCAGGAGTGTTTGTTGCCTAAGTTTGAAAAGGTTGATCTCTGCCAGTTAAAATTGTGTCCACACAACAGAGCATCCAATTTGTTATTCTATCTGTAGAGCATGTAGAAAAGAAACGACAGGAGCTCAGGAGGGTGTTACTAATCAAGATCAGTGTGCATTGACAGAATTTAACGTAGGAAGTGTTTCAGAGTGTTTGTGTGTCTTGAGGCATGAACTCATGCATCGAGTCAGGCAAATTTTTCTTGAGCACAAAATGCATATTTTGCATTTGACAGAGCTACCTGACTTGTTACAAAAACATACACTGATTCATGTCGTGCCAAACAACATGTTGTTTTTTCTATTTATTTAGCCACTTAAACTAATCGTGAAAAAGTAAGAAAACCCAAACCTTTGCCAATACAGTGTTTCAGCAATTTAATTTGGATCAAGGTATGATGTTGCTAAAAAGGGAAACAAAAAAAAAATTAAGAAACGCATGTGATCAACTTCCCCCCCCCCACCCCCGGGAGAGGAGTTGCAGCCCTTTCAGTTCATCTTCCAACTCTTCTACTTCCCCTTTAATTGTTACTAACTAGTTATTGTTCCTGCTTTGGCTGTCACGTGACACCCATGTGTACCTCACTTTCATTTTCTCATTAATTATCTTTGTCTCTAAAATACTTGGTTTGGGGCGAGTTTTGACTTCCTTTGACCGGCTGCCTGGGGACGAGCACGTCCCGCAGCGAAGGTGCCCCAGCGCTCCGCAGCGGCTCGCGGCTCAGCGACCGCGCCGGGCTGCTGGCACCGCGCCGGGCTGCTGGCACCGCGCGGGGCTGCTGCCACCGCGCCGGGCTGCTGCCACCGCGCCGGGCTGCTGCCACCGCGCCGGGCTGCTGCACCGGGCTGCTGCCCCGCGCCGGGCTGCTGCCCCGCGCCGGGCTGCTGCCCCGCGCCGGGCTGCTGCCCCGCGCCGGGCTGCTGGCACCGCGCCGGGCTGCTGGCACCGCGCCGGGCTGCTGCCACCGCGCCGGGCTGCTGCCACCGCGCCGGGCTGCTGCACCGCGCCGGGCTGCTGGCACCGCGCCGGGCTGCTGCCCCGCGCCGGGCTGCTGCCCCGCGCCGGGCTGCTGGCACCGCGCCGGGCTGCTGGCACCGCGCCGGGCTGCTGCACCGCGCCGGGCTGCTGCACCGCGCCGGGCTGCTGCCCCGAACCCCGGCTGCCTTCCCCCGCACGTGCGAGGCAGCAACAGCCACAAAGCTCTCGCTGACCTGCAAAACGCAGCTCGCAGGTTCTCGGATACCCTGCGAAACAGAGGTGAGAACGCCGCCGGGCTCTGTGCAGGGTCTCTGAGCCCTGCAGGGCTCCTGACGAGGGCGGGAGCTGCAGCCGGGAGCTGCGCGCGCCGGTCGTTGCCCGCCGCCCGAGCAGCTCACCCGCCTCCGCAGGCGGAGCGCTCCGCGCGCCGCTGGAGGGGGGAGCTCGCGGGGCGGCGCTTCCCGCCATTTCCGGCCGGCGGGCCGCGCGCCGCCGCCATGCCGATGAAGGGCAGGTTCCCCATCAGGCGGACGCTGCAGTATCTCAACCAGGGCGACGTCATCTTCAAGAGCTCGGTGAAGGTGATGACCGTGAACTACAACACGGCGGGGGAGCTGAGCGAGGGGGCGAGGTGAGCGTGGGGGCGCGGCGGGAGCGCGGGGCCCTTTGCGCCTTCCTCAGAGACGCCTGGGCTTGCGGGGAGCTGCGCCGTCCGCAGAAACATCTCGGCTTGCCTTTGCGTGTTTTTCTTCTCCTCTCCAGAAAGTTCGTGTTTTTCAACATACCCCAGATCCAGTACAAGAACCCCTGGGTGCAGATCATGCTGTTCAAGAACATGACCCCCTCGCCCTTCCTCCGGTTCTACTTGGGTAGGTGCCGCCGGGGAGGGGGCAGCCGGGCCCGCCCTGAGGGCGCCCCGGTCCCGCCCCGAGGGCGCCCCGGCCCCGGCCCCCGGTCCCGCCGTGAGCGGGGCCGTCTGCGGGAGGCATGAAAGCCGCGATGGTTTTCACGATGGAAACGTGGTTTGATCCGCGTTTCTGCCATTCCAGCTCGGCCCCCACATCTCAGTCTGCAAAGTGGGAAGAAAGGTGCTTGTTTAGAAAACTGTGTTAGCGAACATCCTGTACTCACCTCCACCGCCTTGCACTTCTGTCAGCTGTCCTAGAGGAAGACTTCACTTTTCTTACTCAAACATTACATTGTACATTATCTGTAGTAGAGAAGCAGATGTCTTAGTTTTGTGTGTTTAAAACACATTGCATCTACTGTGAAACAGTATGGGGTAGTGAACGGGTACCATTTGATAAACTGTTACAAATCTCTCTTGACAGACAATGGAGAACAAATTTTGGTTGATGTGGAAGAGAAAACCAACAAAGAGATAAAGGAACACATTAAAAAAATCTTAGGGAAAAGCAAGTAAGTAACACTTAATAAGCTAATATCGAGTCTAACATACATCATAATACAACTCCTGCCAACCTTTGTCAGGTATACAGAAGTAACACTTTTCCCAGACAGAATTGACAATGAGCTAGGTGAAATCCACAAGCTAAAAGCTCTGAGTTGATCTTTCTGATAAACTGGGTCCAGGGAGGGTAAAGGAAATGTTGCCATGCAGGCTTCTGATAATTACAAACAGATTTTTTTTTTTCTTTCCCCTAGAGAAACACTTGAAAAAGAGGAAAGAGAAAGGAAAAAACTATCACATCCAGCAACTTTTGGGCCTAAGAAGTATCATCTGCGAGAATGCATGTGTGAAATTGAAGGTCAAGTTCCTTGCCCTGCTTTTGTGCCACTGCCCAAAGAGATGAGGGGAAAATACAAAGCTGCTATGAAAAACGAAGCATCAGCTTGACGTCTCAAGTCATGCAGTTGGTTTTCTTCAGGGCTGGATGACTGAGGTACTTCTGTGAGAGACAAGACCTAACAACTCCTGGAAACGGGAACAAGGAAGTTAATGTAATACAGACAACCTCATCTCCCAAGTCTTCTTACTGCTACAACCAGAATAATTAAAGTGAATAATAAATAAAAATTAAAAATCCAGCTTTTTTTGGTGCTGGTTTTACAAAGCACTTCAGTCAGCACTGCATACATGGAAAACAAAATGAGTAGAGCCCTATTTCCTACTCTAGCTTGCATCTATCAGGTTATGGCAAAGACAAGATCATGCTGGCTTTGGGATAGAGAGACTAGAATAAAAAGCTAGTTTCATCCTAGAAGCAGCACAGAATTCCACAATGTGTAGAAAGTGGTGTAGTGGTATAAAGGTGTTCTGATTTCCATCTTGTATTAACTGAAGACAGCCAAATGACACTAACGCCACACTCAAACTACATGCTGAATTTTCTTAATTACCTGTTTCTGAGCAGTAGAAGTCTCATTTACAGCAAGATACAACTTTTACAGTTGATACTGCAGCTCTGAGAAGCACTGATCAAGGGAAGAATATCATCAGTAAAGGAGAATATGTAAGTTGGCATTTGAAAGATACATTTTACAATTATCTTTAGTGCCCTTCAAAAAAAATTTAAGGCTACTCTTAAGACCATTTCCTACACAGTTTTCCTTAAAAAAAAAAAGCCATAGAAGGGATAACTGTCGAGATTTATCAACTTCCAGCAAATTCTAGCCAGTAAGTCCATTATGCTTTGAAGTCCAGTGCTGCTATGTAACTCCTCTTACCTCAAACACTCCTGCTCCCTGCACATGGTCAAAAAAACAAATCATCATAGCTTCTGCCTCACCCAACAATTACACTATACCTATAATAGTCATACATTACTGTAGCACTGTATTTCAGCATGTCTGAGCTAATGGTCAAGTACAAAATTTCAGAGTGATTCAAGTGTCCTGTACAAACTGTCAAGGACAACCACAGCACAAAATAAACATACTGTTTTATTTCATCTCTGTTTACAAAGTTCCCATACAGAGTAGTGCATGCAATTTTAACAAAAGTCAATGCTAGTTACTGAGCTTTATGGGTAAGATGCCTTCATTCCGTTGTGCCTTGTAAGCCTCACAGCAGTCCAAATACCAGCCTAAGGTCTTCACTTTAGAGATGACTTTTGTATCACATGTCTAGTCTATCACATTTAACACTGACAAAGATCATGAGGTATGCTAGTCTGTTACCTGCTTGTAAAAATACATTATTACATGTACAATAAGGATACTTTAATTATTAGTGTATTAGACTGAAAATACAAACAAGGCAGGATAGTTGCAACAAGGAAAGAACTTTAAATGTGAAAGCTGAAGCCACTGAAACATTTTTTTCATGTTGATGCCAAAAAAGCTTTGGGTTACCGTGCAGGGAACAATCCTCTTGACTAACAAACAAGTCTGTCTTTATAACTACCTTATACTATTTCTGTTAAAGCAATTCCAGGAATTATGTTTAGCTATCTTAACATTTATTTTTTGCTGTCTTCGTAAATCTGGCCACAGTGCTCATGTTTAGTTAGCTTACGACCTTTCAGAATCCTCTGTTCTTCATTTCACTTAGTACAAAATCACACTCGGGAACTCAATCAACTCTAATAAAACATCTCAGTATAAAAACTTCATGGTCTTCTGCACACCTTTCAACTTCAGATCTAACCTATAGTAAGAAGAACACTAGCTATCCTTAACTGGCTGCTCTAAGTTATTTTGATCAGTTACTAGTGCTATTAAGTGAGGATATAGGTAGGCTTTTTGTTTTGTTGTGTTTTCTTTTAAACAGTTCCATAAGTCCCTACTTCCACATATTTACAGCAAAATAAAACTAGAGTTCCTGCTTTTTAGGTAGCATAATTATTTGTGTCTCTAAAATATGCAATGCTCGAGTTACAGCTATGCTGTTATCAGAGGCATAGTTAAAAGACATGTCCCATTCCATAACAGTTTACATTTCTAAGCCCACTATTATTAGTACTATACAGTGGGATCTGCCTAATATTCTTCTATTTCAGCTTTAAATAAATACACTCTTTAGATTAAATCCTCCCCACCACCCTTTCAAACACTGATGGCTGATAACAGGCCTCTGCCTTTCAAAGATGAAAATCAAAGCAGCTCACCCTCCATCTTTCACAAAAATACAGGCTGACCTAACCCTGAAGTGATCCTACAGTTCTGATACCAATCCTCAGAACCCCCGCTTTAAGCCCTCCTGCATCAAAGGTGCTGGCCACCACCTAGTCATCCCCCAGGCCACAGAATTAAAATAAGCTCCAAATTGGAGTCATGAAGACAGACATGCCCAATTCTCAAAACAACTTCTGAGGGGAATCAAATATGAAAGAGAATTGCTATTTGGCACTATCACAGCCACAGACTTTGTCTCCCAGCTTTCACAGAATTCCAGTTCAGTGGGACTTCAGCTCTACATTATAAACAAGATTTTTGTTCCTTGAATGCTACAAAGAAAGGGCTCCAGTCTCACAAACACAACAAACATGATCATTCTGTCACCCAGAGAATTTAAAGAAATCTATAGTTTCCATAAGATACTTAAGAATTGGAGGGTCACCCTTTATATTATTGTCTGAAATGGCGCTAGCCTGATGATCTTTTCCCTGGAAAAGAGTAGATACTTGTTCCCTCACAAGCAGGTCTCTGAAGCCAGCATGGCAGTCTCTATTACACTGCAGTATGTGCTCAAAGAAAATCAGAAACTAGAAGTGATGAAAAGACAGCATCTAAATTTTACTTGAGAATTTTTATAAACACATTGAAAAATTACTCGTATTAGTATCAGTTATGAAGTTCTTCTCAGTCTTAAAATCCCTTTCATGTATTAGCATTGCACAAAACTGATCTACAAGCCTATATATTCTGTACCTCAAAGAATCCCAGTAGCCTTTTACCAGCACTGTCTCACAACACCATTAGGCAATTAAGGTAGCCTTGTATCACTGTACTGTGTCATCAGATGATGCAGTAGTTTTAGAAAAGTTTTTATCTCTCTTTAGTCAAAGCCCCACTTGAAAGGCAAATACTACAACAGAAAGGGGGAAAGATGACAAACCAACATTACAACCATTTCCAAATCGTGGTTCCCTATTAGCACTTAACCACTTTGACCAAAATAAGCATACAGTAAGACCAGTTAGCATTAAAAGTGTTGTAACAAGTTATACAAAGAAATTTTAAAATAAGTGTTTGAGACCAGCAGCATACTTCAGTAATTCTTTCTTCAAGACTGAGTAGTAGTGGAAATGCCTAATTGAAAGTGCATAAAAGTCAAGACTGTCCCAGTTCCCTCTTGTGATCCATACTCCTGTTTGTATCTGCTCTACCTTCCAACATTTAACAACAGACTTACAATAATTATTACACAGTCCTACTGCTACTTCAGCAGTTGGATTTCTCCTTCTGCTTCGCTAATGTGCGCTTCAATTCCTTTAAGTTCTCTGTCAGTACCTCCACCTCATCCATTCGTCCACTATGTTTGGCATCAAATATATAAGCTTTGATATTATCTATCTGTTGGAGAAGCAGCTCTTCCTCTATAGCCTCCTCTCCAGAAATCTCATTGCCATCTTCCACTTCAAAGGGATTGGTTGAGGATCCCTCTTCAAATGGATTCCCAGAATTCCAAATGCTCCCAGGCTTTTGAACTGGATTTTCATCTTCTTCAAAAGGGTTTGAAGTACTGCCAGGTGCTTCATTAGTTTGTTCATCCTCCTCCTCATTTTCAAATGGATTATATTCTCTATCTCTTTGCAGAGCTGTGTTAGATGAAGAAACCACTGGAGAAGTGTCTTTGGCGAATGGGTTATCAGGATCTTCCTCTAACTGAGGGGTATCTACTTCATCTTCAAAGGGGTTTAGACAGGCTGTCCGATCTTGGTCTTTGTCACACTGTGGGACATTCTGGGGCTTGAGTGTGAAGGTCAAGTGCTCTTTAGCTGGCAGCTGCTCAACAGCAGGAGTTTCAAAATTTGGGTCCCCTTTCATCTGAGTAATATCCAAATCCAATGCATGTGCTGTCAAGTTCTGATTCTCTTTTGCAACTTCATGCTGATGCTGCTTGACTTCTCTGAAGTCTAAGGAACGTGTCCTTGAATGCTGAGACATTAATTTGTGGTGTTCTCTTTCCCACTCTTTTTCACAAAGGACCTGAAGTTCCTCCCTCTGCATCTCCTCCTCTTCTGCCTGTTTTTTAGAAAGCTCAATCGCTTTCAGAGTTTGTTGTTGATTGTATTCATCCTGAAGCTGCCTCAGGTTCTCTTGCAGCATATGGACCTCGTCTATCCTATTAGCTGCCTTTGCTTGCTTAATAAAGGATGTGATATTGTCAATCTGCTGAAGGAGTGGGTCTGCTATCTCACTTTCTCTCGATATGCTAGATGTAGGTAACCAGCCTTCAGATTTCCTGACTGTTCCTTTTTTCAGATGAGTTGCATCACCATTAACTGCAGCTGCAGATCTGGAGATAAAGTCCTTCTGCTTCTCCTCTTGTTTTCCATGTGTTTCGAGAGCCACCTAAAACAAAAAACATGTAGGTAAGAGAACACCATGAGCTTGAAAAAATCCATTCTAAATATCCATAGGTACAAGAAGTTAGCTGGTCTTAGACAGTGCTGGCTGTCACTGAAAGGGATCAGCTGCATTTTTGGTTACTTTGCAGAAAATACTTATTTTCATAATACTACCTAAATGCTTCCCTTCAGCTTGCTTGATCACTTGACACTGATCAAAATCCCATGACATCTACCTCAACAAACTTGAGGGCAAGCAGAAGCAGTGATGGTGCTTTATAGAGAGAGAGAGCAAAAAAATGTGTAATGAAACTGTGCAAAGAGTGGTCTAGCCTGATTTGGACAGCAACTGTATCACATCTGACTACAGCAAATATCTGTAATAGAACATCAGCGTTAAAGGTCATTGATATAATTGGATTTTGGAGTGCAACAATTCTTATTTCTCAAATTCTACCTCAAGATAAAGCTGGTTTAGTTTACAATTAACCATGTCCTCCCTCCTAACTGAAAAAACACACTCTCTCTGAAAAGACATCTTTGTTCTAATATGTCCTTTTTCACCACTGAAAGAAGTCTCCAAATTCTACTTGTGCAAATGAACTCCAAAACACAATTTAAAAACCCACATAAACTAACATAGTTAGTTTAGGGCTTGCTCTGCATGCACTGCAGCAGAAACAGCACGTGCAACCAAGTCACTGCTGCTTCCTTTAAGTGTTCAGCTGCTCAATACACACCTGCTTATGTTCTAGATAGAATACAATGCTGATGCTACATGAATCTCTGAAAAAGGGTATGGAATGATCAGCATGAAAAAACTGAAATTCAGTGTTAAAGGCAGCTATTCATACACACACAGCTACTAGGCTTAAGCCCTTGAAGGAGGCCCTGATAAGATGTAACAAATCTTTACCTGTCTTACCATATGCAGTCTTCTCTTCTTCAGTTCTTCATACTGATCTTTGGTTGGCAGGGACATTAGGCCAAGCAGTTTTTCCTGGCAAAAATTGAAATATTTACAGCGTTGCATGCAGGCATTCAGCCAAATTTCAAGTATTTGAAAAGAATACCCCACCAATAAACAGAAGGTACTTCTGCACTGCAGTCACTGCTGCAAGTCTGAGCACATCTTTGCTGCCGTAACTATAATGCTAGTTAGGTTCACACCTCAGCAAGAGACAAAGCCAAGATTCACACATTCTCTCAGGTCCCTAAACTCAATGCTGCTCTGACTACACTATCTGTATTCAGACTAGCTCATTTAAGGCTACCGTAAGTCATTAGGGGAACAGAAAACATACAGAACTAAACCACAGGGATGCCAGGCGAAGAAGAGACCCCTATATAAAATTTACATTCAGCTCGTAACATACGCTCCATTTACCTGAACAAAAAGTGTAGCTGAGTATCTTATCATTCTCTGAAGTTGTAGTGTTTTAGGATGAGGCTGGGGATCTTCACGCAAGCCTAGACTCAAAATCTTTTTGCTGAATCAAAGCAAACATACAGCTTCATTAGTTCAAAAACAAGGGCTATTGAAAATGCAACAGAAAGGGAGAGAAACAGTATTGGATGAAAACTTTCTGCTGTTCTTTTAGGTTAACCACTCTGGATATTACAAGTTATAACACTTTCCACTCCTACCTTTTTTTTTTTTAAAAAAAAAAACCAAACCCAACAAAAAAACCCACAACAAACCAACCAAACCAAAAACAAACAAAAAAACTACCAAAAAAAAAAAAAAAGTAACTGTGCCACTATTTGTTTCCTCTGTACTTAGTTATTTCCACTGAAAAGCAATGCATGATTTTTAAGGCTGGAAAAGGAACTAGAAATTGATGGTGCACAGGAACAATATCTACCTTTTCACATGCTCTTTGCAACTGAGCAGATTATATGAGTAAGCAGATACATGCTACACAAACACAGGTACCAAGTTGATAAAAACTACAGTGAGGTCATAACAGAGGGAGATACACACATGCTGAGGGGGGAGAGAGAGAGATGTTTTACCTTAAGGCATCTATAAATTCGTATACTTTTTGAATCTCCACCCTCAAGTCATTAGCATGTTCAAGATTGTAGGTTGTCTCCCCAGCACTAGGAAAGAAATACAACTTTAAGTCATGCATCCAGCTAACAACACATACAACACTAAGAGTTATCCCAAGATGACTAAGATTCACAATGGTAAGAATAGGTAACACTAAAGGGGTTGAAAGATTTTATTTCAAGCTCATTGTGTTTAAAACCCCTTTCTTTGTGACAGGAGTGGAAAATAACAATCATGTTGTGAACATGAACATTTCATAGAAGGTAATTTTAGTTATGATTGGATTATTATTTACTATTATAAGAGAAATTGTATTTTAAACACAAGAATGCCACTCTACCAATTATATCTAAATCATCCACATACTTAGCAAATGCATCTATATTGTGTTTCTCTCCAGGTGACTGGGTGCAGAAAAAGCACTGACTGAATAAGTAACTACACCATTAAGTAAATATCTCTACTAATGCTTGTCAGAAATCAAAACCCTACAACCCCACGTGTGTATAATATTTAAGGCAGTAGTAACTGACTGTCCACAGGGGGACACGATCAATTATATGCACTTTACTACAATCTAACATCTATTGATAAAACAAACTAGGATTTAACAGGGAAGACTCTTCACCGGTTTTTAGCTTCCCTCTCCTTTTACATCACAAATATAAAAAGATCACTCTCTCTAAACCAACTTTGTTATCCATATGATTCCAGTTTCTGGGACTCACTACTAGTCAGAAATCTTTAATTTCATCAGTAAGAAGTCTGTTGATTTCTGACATGTGCTTCCATTATCCAAGACATTCACATTCTTACTTTTCTCCAGTTGTCAAGCCCCATAACACCAGCTCTCAAAGTCATGGCAAAAAGCAGTAACAGCTTCATGTTTTTTACCTTCTATACTCCTTTCTTCCTTTCGGAAGGTGTGTTTTTACAAAAACGGTTTTGTTATGATGAATGACAGCCTAATTTTTCTACAACCATCAGATCTAAAGGATGGGTACAGAAATATTTGTTAACTTCAACTTCCCAAATGGACATGCTTCATAGTCTAAGATCAATACATATATTTCTCTACTATACAAGCCATAAATATAACCTGACAAGCCCTTGCAGATATAGCTGGAGAGATTTAAGTTACCTTAGTGAGAGAATACTACCGCAAGAAATTATGCACAGCAGTGTGGTATGTGAATGCTGCTTATCCACTGCAGCACAGGGCAGGCCAGCTAGATTCAGAACAACTGTCATGTGAAGGCTTTACACAAGAACAAGAAAGCATTCAAACCATCCTTTGCTGCTGGCACTACCTGGAAGCCATACCATCCAGCTGAGGGCAGTAATACCCAACTTCAACTCTTATGGAGAAACTCATTTACACAAGAATTGAAGCCTTGTACTTCCCTTTTTGCAAAGGTGACACCTCAAAGTATAACGGTGGCACCTCACTGGGAAGTGGCTTTAAAAAAAATAAATCAGACTTCTTAGCTGTATGCAATGTTGCCATTAATAATGAATTCAGTATTACTTTGTTTGAAGAACATCCAAAAGACAAGAGATAATCTAACACTGCTTTTCCTTGTACTTTAGACAGTCTTGCAGCCTTAGCACACCACTTCCTTACTCCTTCCAAGACTTTTGGGGAGGAAAAATACATATATTTATAAATAAAATCAGCAAATTGGGCTTACTTTAGTGATTCTGCCATCCTTATGTACTCTGGTGCCTTCTGGTCAACCTTTTCCATGCAGAGCCGGAGTTTCTTGTTTAAAACAAAATGTATAAAAAGAGAACTTATATTAAAACATTAATGCAAGAACATGCTGACATAAGCCTTTCATGCTGTCTGTGCACGTTCAGAGTTAACTGTGATGAAAACCATTTAACTATTTACAATGACAAGACCCTCCAGTTATCTTCAGAACACAGATGGAACAGTCAGGAGCAGAGAGACTCCCCGTACCCCTGCAACGTAAATTTTGAATTCAGAAGCCGTTTTAATGGATGATTCGGACAACTTCTAGCCTTAAATCTCTTTACAAAGAGCACCAACAGAAACTCCCATTAATACTAGCCTGGGAGGGTTGCGGACTCTACTGAAAAGATACCTGATGACTGTCAGTACCTGCTTTCAAAGCACATTTGAACATAGCGTTCCAGTCTTATGTTACCAATTGCTATAGATGGTTCAAAAAAGCATCTGCCATCAGTGTGAGGGCAAACTGATGACATCAAGTCCTACAGTTCCAGTGCAGCTCATCGACAAAGTGCACAGCTTATCATTGGTTTAAGCAAGAACTGTTCTGAGGAATCCCAGCTGATGAGAATGAAGATGTATCTTAAAATGATGTCTGAAGTTATTGTGGGCTATAAATACTATATGGCAACTGGCTCCATCATTTCAGATATACCTTTGTTATGTAGTATAAGCACCCAATAGTGTCTATTCTAAAACAAGTGAGTATTAAGACTTAAATTAAGACCTTGGTCATGAGGTAAGCCACAAGTCAGGTAGTGACAACTGCAGATATATACACTGAGGATGAAAGCAGCGAAGAGTTTGATTTACCTCATAGAGTTTCACAATCTCTGGAGTGTATTCTTTCTCATCAATCTGTTGTTCTCTTTTCAACAGGGTATCTTTGCAGTGCCGACAGCAACGGATTCGGTCATCATCCTTCTCATCCAGAACTGAGCTCACACTGCTTATGCTGCTAATGCTGCCACGGCGGGAGCCATGGACACTATTAGGTGAGGAGTTTGGGCTAGTATGAGAACCCAAGGCCTCTTTGCTGGCACTAGTGAGCTTGCCTAAAAATTATACACAGTTAATTTTACAGTGACTGGAGAAGCCAAATGAATTGCACTTTAACAGAAACTTTACATTCAGGTGATATTAGAAAACCAAGTTGAAACAGGCTGCTGAAAAACATGCAAGGAACCCATGACAACCAAGACTAAGTCAGAATTTGGGTCTTCACTGCAAATCCTGCTCCATTCTAAAATCAGCTAGAGAGCAGAGTGCTGAGAACCACCTACTTTGCTTATGCCTAGAAGCATTTTCATGTTGGAGTGTTCATAGTTATAGAACAGTGTCTAGAAGAACAGGTATGTTAATGCCATCCATGTTTTGTGCTTGAACGCTTCAAAAAGCACAATTAATGTCATTTATTTCCACAGCAAATAGAATCTCCTCTCCAGTGCACCAGATGAGGAAATTAAGAGTTCAAAGGGTTTCTCAAAGGCTTGTGGATGAACTTCCTTAACATCAGCATTTGGACAACCATGGGCAAGACTGGAAATAGCCACAATAGTTTTAAATGTCAAGAACCTTGGCAGTTTTAATTCCTAAAGTTAATACCTTCACAATTATGGTACTCAGTAGAATAAAACACTGAATATTAATTATATTTACTAGTAGAATATACTACTACTAATTCTAGTACCTTTTTTCAGTGTTATGTAATACTTCCAAAGCTGCATAAGGAATAAAGAATGGAGAAATCATTTTTGTTTCACAGACAAATGTCTGCGTGAAACTGAATGACACATTAAGGACCAAGGTTTCTACACAGGCAGAATATTACCAGGAGCTTTTTTTCTAATGGCAAAAAGCCTGAATGCAGTTAGCAGCCTGAGCGAGCTAAGGAAAGGAGGAATTAACACCACACACTGTACTTACTTGCCAAAGGCAGACTGACAAGTTCCATGCACTTCTTGCACATAATAGACCCACAAAGGCGGCAGTGGTGACGTCTGTTTCGAATACTGAACTTATTGCCACAGTCTGGGCAGAAGGGAACATCCTGATCACTGACCCAAGGCACTACAGATTTCTCTATAGCTGTGATCAGGCAAGAGGGGAGGGAATACACACAACGTAATTAATTCAATTAATTCCTGAGCTGGTTAAACTATAGGAGCAAGTAGTCTGAGGTAAGGTCATACCAACCTCTTATTTTAGCTGACTCAGTGTTTGCTCTGTCAAACGATGTAAGCTAAGAAGATAAAAAAATAAGAGCTATGAAGATAAACAAGATATTCAAGAGAACTAATTTTGCAAGAAGAGAAAAAACAACACAACCCAGTGCAACAAGAAATCTGGCATTTTTAAGAGACAGGACTCTCAAACTGTTTTACACCAGATTCCTGCAGCTTTTCTATTTATTTCTAATGTCATATTCATACAAGTAGTGCTAAACAATGACTGCCAAACCTGTACAAATCAGAGCATTTTGGACACAATCCTTACAGCATCCAACATTACTGCATCTGAGACCAAATGCAAGTATATCATTGGTAGACTTTGAAGAATGAGAAGCTGGAATCATCATCACAAAAACATTAGGGAGAAACTTAGTAAAGTAAAGGATGGAGAAAATATACAGAAAAATAGGAGCGTCATGAAACATGTGGGAGTAGCATGTTTAGCTTGAAAATAGTGCACAGAAACACAAATCATATCCACAGTACAGGGTCAGACCAAGCACAGTACTCAAGGATAAAAAAGGAAAACAGTAACATTTGAAGAGAGTCATAGTTTAGTTTCCTTTTTTTAAAAAGTGCACTGCTAGATAAATGGGCACACTTCATACTAAAATACGGTATTTTTTTTAAATCTAGGAAATATTCAGAAGGCTGGAATATTAAAAAGTAGCAAATTTACCTTTTCTAGCCTGATTATTAACTTATTGACTTCAACTACATAGTGATCAATCCTGGCTGCTCGGTGTTTCTTGAAATCAGAAAGATGGCTTCTCATAGCACCTGGAGAGATAGCAGAAAATTTTCAGTCACTCAGGCGTTCTGTATGGATTTAAATGCATTTAAATGCCTCTTGAAAGACAGCTGTCTCTTCATCATTTATTTCTTGGGTTTAAATAAAATTATAAAGACACATTAGAATTCTACATTTTCACAGTGCTACTCTAAATAAAAAAAGCAGGTTAAAGCCTAGTGTCCAGGGTAGCAATAAACAGGATTTGACTTCTACTACAGAATAGAACAGGCACTATGTTAAAAAGAACATCTGCAACAGTTGTTTGTTTTTTTTTTTTTTTTTTTTTCCCCTCTTCATCCCTCAGTTACATTTGGCAAGCTATTATCAACTATTCTCAAAACCAACTCCCTTTAGTTTCCTGGCTACATGTTGAACAACGGGAAGAGGCAGGTACAATGATTACTGGAGGTCTATGCAACAGCAATTTCTCTTTCAGACTTCTGATCGTCCTTCTACCTTTAGGGATCCGAATAAAATCCTTTATGACAGTTCAGATTTACAGAAAACTGATCACCAAGTATACAAAATAACAATATAGAATCTATTTAAGAAATGTACAATCTGTATTTGTCAGTGCTGATTTCAAGTTTAAGTTTTGATTCTTTTCCAAGTATGATGAGCGAGGTATTAAAAATCAGTTACAGACAGAAAAAGAAAAAAAAAAGTCTTTCTTCTGACTGGTAGAAAACAAAAATCAGAGGTTGCTTTTTGTTAATACCTATGTAAGTGTAAGAATCTCACTTCTTCATGCTAATGAAATAATCAAAAAGCCTTCTTTCATTCATAGAAATGAAAGGGCTCATCTGGATAACTGAATTCAGCTACTGCTTTGGAGACATCACACAGTACCTTTCACAAACCCACCACATCCTACCCTAAAATCTGTGAGGTTCATCTTCTATACTCTGATCAGAAAACAGTTCTTACTTCTCTAATGTTCAAAAATCTTCTGTCAGTTCACTGCCTAAATTTATTCTTAGCTAGTATTTATACTATGATCGCTGCTGAAATAGTTACAAAGTCAAAAGTGTAATATCTACAGAACTCAAGACTCTGCAGACCCAAAGGAGTAAATCCTAGTCTGGCAGCAGCACAGGGAAAACTTGCCCAGGATCCAACAGAGACAGTGCTGCTTTGCCCCCCTGAAAATAATCATAATATTTCAGCAATAGTAAGAAGCAATTTCGAGTAACAGTATTTGTAAGTACAGGCTCAGTCAACTTATCCCTGAAATTCTACAAATGTAGATTTATATTCAGAGGTATGGGGTTTGGGTTTTTAGGGTTGTTTTGTGGTTTTTTGCTTGTTTGTTGTGCTTATTTGGTTTTTGTTTGTTTGTTTGTTTTCTAAAGTAGATCTCTCATTAAAGAGAGATGATCTACACCTCAAATCCAACGAAAAAGCTGAAAGACTTTAAATCAATGGACAAGATTTTTGTCAGACATGTAAACTAACAGCTACTTTAAGTGTAGCCCAACAGTTGGAGATTTTATATAGCTATAGCTTCATTATTAATTAGTGGATTATCTGTTTTGTAGAAAGCCACAAGATGGTTGCAGAACACCTCAATGAAGCCAGATGCAGAGGTAAACATACACTCAGTAGGCCTCAACAGCTCAGGCACAGTGACATGACAAACAGCCATCCTGATCTCAAGGTTAGTTGGGTTATTGATTCTATACATTTATTTTTTTTTAACCCATTATCTGCATTTCCCTCATCACCCCACACAATGTAGGCAGGCTGCACAAAATCAGTATGCAAACCATATCCCCACGCTACAGTAAATCAAATGCAATACAGACACAATTCAATGCAACTTCAGCAATACTGTAGCACTTTCCGAGTTAAGATCAAAAGAAAAATTATCCCCACTGCTCACTGCTCTCTAGCTCTCCTACCTACTTCCTGGGGCTCCCACATGTATGGATCTACTCCACCATAGCTGAATGACTCATATCGTTCCTGAGATCCAGAATCAGTTCTGTCATCTTCTCGTTTCAGCAATTTCTTCTTTGCTCTTTTGGCCTTCTGGACTAGATCTGAAAAAGATAAACCCAAGCTACCAACCATGGCAGGTAGTCACTGAAATCTGTCACATGAAACCAGTATGGAATATACGTCATCTTTTAGCACAAGTCTTTTTCCGTGATGACAAGTTTATCCTCAATGTGTTCTATTTAGAACCAGAATGTGGTTTAGAGAAACACAGATGACATGAAATACTCTTTGTTATCTGTCATAAAGTAGCACTAAGGTCCTAATGACAAGAGAGTAGTTTCAGACACTCCATTCAGGGACTTCACTGTAAAACAGTAAGCTGCCTTAAACTATGGGACCCATTTCACAGCGTTCTGGGACATCATACAGATAGCATCTTAATTCTCTTACGATTTTCTTAGGATTCAAGGATTTTCACCACTCTGTCTTGTTGCACAAACTACAAACTAAGAATTTCAGTGCGCTCGTACACCTAAATAATTGCAGAAGTACTAAACAGCCCAGTGTATTACCTCATACAAATGCTAGTGAGAGGACGGCATTATCCTGGGGGGGAAAAAAAAAAAAAAAAAAAAAAGACCAAGAACTTGAAACTTCAGAGCTTTTGTTGCCCTTGCAGCTATGTTCCTCTCTGAATGCTAGCAGAAGTTGAGGGCACTCCTTTTCTTGACAAACACATTCAGTATCTCTTTGAACTACATCTTTTACACATCAGTCTTTCTAACAAGCTGCTGGGAACCATGAGTTAGCATGTTCTTTCATATTTCTAATTTTCTTGTTTAGTGTCCAACACACTGGAACTTCCACATTGACCTTAATGGAGACTGTCCTCCCCCTGCTGCAGCCACTAGGGCTGTGCCAGCAGGGCCCTTCTGCAGACATTGTACTTCCTAGCAGTTTTTCAGCTGCTAAAGTTATGATACCTCCCAAAATGACACTCAGTGATATAAAACACACTTCTCAACAAAAGTTGAGTGTCAGGTTGGCAAGGGCTTTGCTAGCGTTGTAACATCATCTAAGAAACAGGATCTCTCTTCCCCCCACCTCCTCTCAAGCCAGCATAGCAAATGCCAGCTAGACACTGCAGTTTCTTAAATGACGTTTACACTATCTAAACAGAAAATCGTTTTCCACTCGAGACTTTGGAAGTCTGACATACTTTAAAAGAAGCAGGGATGCCTCATGGCTTTGCCAGATACACAAAAGCTTTTCAAGCAAACTTCGTAACCTTGTTTGCCACAAAATCATACTTAACCACCTCAGTATGACTCAAAAGTAGTAAGATGATTCATAAGCATTTCTAGAACTCCAAAATTAGGATAGTTGGAGTTCAGCACAAAGTCGTGCAACCACTTGTGATACACAGTTTGAACACCAGTCCCTAAAACAGGTAATTTAAACACGTGAATCTGCCGGCCTTTCTTCTTCTAGAAGGGATCTCACTGGATAGACATTTACATGAATAACTGGGACAGAAAGTAAGCAGTCAAAACCAACATCATTTATGCAAGAACACATACGAAAGACAGCCTGAGAAGTCACAGCACACTAGAGTAAAAGGACACTAGAGAGAACAAAAGTCATAATGCAGGTGTTTTGTATTAAATGAAAAAAGTGGTTTGGAAATCTTACCAAGCCCAAGTTCTTGTTTTATGAAAACCATACTGTTGTTCTGGTTTAAATGCTCCACGGAAGCACCTGTGATTCTGCTATTACAGCAGAACTATTACCGATGATGAGAACATGACTGCAGTACTGAGCAGGCTACCTTCACTGTCCAAGAGCAGCACAGTGCTAAGAGCCAAGAAGTAGCAAGACTCATGGAAAGCAACTTAAAGATTCATGAAATATTAAACTGTACTACCCTTAAAACAGGCTTGCCAACATCACAAACTTTTCACTGAGAAAAGAGGCTTTAAGTAATAATCATCCATCTCAGACAGAAAAAAAAAAAAAAAAGAGAAGAGTAAAAATTCAAGATTGCCAGGTCACTATCTCTAATATAATAAAACCAGAAAGATTTCTGCGGGGAATACACAGAATTATCACCAGGTTTTACACATTTTTCTTTCAATGTAAAATGACACTGTGTATGCAAAGGGGAGGGGAGTAAAAAAGGAAAATATTTTAGTTAAACAGAATTCAAAGAGATTTTTCAAACACTAGTAAAAGTTGGTAATCCATAGCACAATCCTGGGACACTCCTAGCATCTCCTGTCAGTTCCACCACACACATTCTCTTCCATCTTTTCCCACCAATAACCTTCCTTAACTTTAACTGTGACTACAGTTTTATCTACTGTCAAAACAAGGGATTGATGAATTGGTACCTGGCAAGCACCAGAGATTCCCCATAGTCTGTCAGGTCTTCAGGTGATGCTTGGGAATTCATCTGGGTTACAGTATAAATCAGTTTTCAGAAAAAACCACAAGACAAAGAAACCTCTAAAAGGTCGATAATAAAAATCACGCAGAAAATCAGACATTTGAAGGGTGATGTCTTCTAAACGCTCGCTTTAGAATTTACTTGGTGAAAGTATTGGGACTAGCGTAAAAATTATGTCTTGGCCTAGGGTAATTTATAGAGAAATGGAACTCCATACCTCACTTGTAACCCACTTCAACTAATATTCTAGCTTCCTCAGACATCTGGGGAGAGCCCCTGCAGCCCAAGTGGCTTCTGTTGCACTTGGAATTTTACGTGGCAAAAATGAACGCGTTCCAACTGCCGTCACGACTCTTACTTTTAAGCTGCCCTTTGACATCTCTGTCCTCGCTCGAGTGCTCCTCCTCGTAGTGCGACTGAAGCTGGTAGAAAGACTGGAGATCCTTCAGGCAGAGCGGGCACAGAAAGCCCTCCCTCATCTCCCCCGGGTCCCCGAAGGGCGGCGGGCAGCCGGACGCCATGGCGGGCCGCTCCGGCTCCCCGAGCTCAGCGGCGACGCAGCGGCCGCCGGGCCGGGCGGAAGCGCGGGGGCAGCATCGTCCTCCGCGGCGTCCTGAAAGAAACCGGGGCGGCGGCGTCGGGGCGGCGGCGCGACGTCACCCCACGCCCTGCCTGGCCCCTCCGCGGCCCAGCGGGCGCCCGCGCCGCGTCCCGCCGCTCTGCATGCGGCGCCCGCCCGGCGGGGAGCAGAGAGCCGGAGATCGCGGAGCGGGAGCCGGGGCCGGGGCCGGAGCCGGGCGGCGACCGAGACAGACCGAGCGGCGGCGGCGGCGGCAGCAGACAGGGCTGGAGCCGGGACCGCCGCCCGGGGACCGCCGCCCCGCCCCTCGGCGCCGCCCCGCCCCTCGGCGCCGCCCCGCCCCTCGGCGCCGCCCCGCCCCTCGGCGCCGCCCCGCCCCTCGGCGCCGCCCCGCCCCTCGGCGCCGCCCCGCCCCTCGGCGCCGCCCCGCCCCTCGGCGCCGCCCCGCCCGCGCAGGCGCAGCTTGGCAGCACGTGCCGGGCCCGCTGCCCCCCGCGCGGCCGGGGCGGGGGACGCGCGCGGAAAGGGGCGGGGCTTCGTGCTCGCGGTCACTGAGGGCCCCCGCCTCGCCCCGCCTCGCCCCGCCCCGGCCCGGCCCGGCCCGGCCCGGCCCGGCCGAGGGGAGCCGCCGGGCCCGGCCTCACCTCTGCACCCAGGCGGGAGGTGCGCGTCTCCAGCGGCAGGGAAGCTGCGGGCCGCCGCCCTCCCGTCAGCCTGGCGTCCCGGTCTGCCCGGGAGCGGTAGAGCCCGGCGGAGGGCGGGGCGAGCGCCGAGATATCGATGAGCGGGAAGGGTGGGGACAAGAAGGGCTCATCCGGGACCGGAGGGAGACGCCAGGCCTAGCTAAGGCGTGTACTGCCGAGCACAGAGCTATCGATGAAGGGCGAGACCGACGGGGGGGGCCTAGGCCTCCCCTAAGAGGGGTGCGGTAGCCGCTCCCCTCTTTCCAGCCACCCTGGAATAGGCCTTAATGACGGGCCCTGCTGGAGCATCCTGAAGCTCTCAGGTGTGTATGAGGGAGGTAGTATGAGGTTGCGGTGACAGAATCCTCTCGGGAGTAAGCAGCGTTGTGGCGCTCGGGGCAGGGGACGCTGGCCCCCTCTAGCCTCTCGCTGCTTCAGAATATCTTGCATAACACCTGTTCTGCTAGCTGCTGGCGGTTTTGTGCTTTGTATCCTTGTTACTGAGCGTGCTGAGGAGTGAACCAGCGTTGCTAACAATGACAAGCCTGATGTTCCCTTTCTTAGCCTGCAAAGTCGTTCAAAAGAAAGTGTTCCAAAACTGTAAACCATACCACTAGATGACATGGTGCTCACAGAGCCACAAATAGAATCCAGGAATCCCCCTACTGCTTGCTTTTGCTGCCTGATGGATAGTTGCGTAAATCAATGTCAGAAGCTTTTCAATATCCCCTCCCAGATGCTTGTTTCTGTTTAGTCTCAGCTGGCAAAAATCTGTGCTGTCCCATGTTCCCTGGCATACAGAGGAAATTATAAGGAGTGTGTAACCATACCTTCAGCTTCATCTGTTCAAATTACGGGCTTTTGGAGGAGGAGATTTTTCTTAAGTGGGAATGCTTCACTGTTAATGTTCTGTACTCTTATTCATGAAGTAAAATCCTTTAAAACATTTCCAGCCGGAATCGGAGTGGGGAGTGTTTTCCAAGGCACGAATTATAACTGGATGCCAAACTCCTGTGGACTTCAAATCCCAGCTAAATGATATCAGATGGTCCCAGATGGGATAAGGGATTCATCCACAATCTGGTTTTAGTGACCATTCTAAATGTTAGTCTCATTCCTGCAGTCTGGTCTTTGTGAGCTGACTATTACATGGTCACTCTCAGCACCTTATCAGATCACCAATGAATTTCACTTGGTTTGTATTTATAGTTCCATCATCTAGCAAAAGTATAATGTGAAATCAAAGTCTTAAAACCAAATTGATGTAATCATAAGAGTAAATGAATGTCATGTCAAAACAGTCAAACTCTTGGGTTTTTTACATGTACAGTTTCCTGTTAACCCTTATGCGCTAGTTTTCATAAACCATGCAGTCTTGATTCAGTTATGAATAGAGAAACAAGCAGCTGTGGAAATAATGTAGAATCCCAGTTATAGTCACCTTCCTATTCAGCATCCAAAACACAGAGCCAATTTCTCTTCGATACTAAAAACTGGTGAGATCTTACCATGCTGTAAAAGCTGTGCTTTCCCCACAGTGCACTCAGGTAAATTATAAGCTGTGAAGCTTTTTTTAGAAGGTATGGTTGGCTGTTAGTTGTTAAATTTATTTATTTAATAAGGGGCTGTATTAACCCCAAGGTCTAAAGAACTTAAAAATATTTTTAAATGTTACCAGTTTCATTTTAAAACTTAAAAAGTCTTCATCCCATAGGGACTAGAAATTAAACTAGCAGTGTATGTAAAGAAGGACGGTACTTAAAGGATGAAAAGGGAAAAATTGAAGTAGCCATCTGACTGTTCATACTGCTTTTTTTATATAAAAAGTTTATTTCTGGCCTCTTCCAGACTTAGCTGGAAGGATTTAACCACACATGGAACAGGCCTGGCAAGATGCGCTCAATGTACTCAGACCTGAGCTGGCAAAGCCTTCTAGCGTGCATGTCTCATCAAAGCTCCTGGGTTTTCTCATTGCATAGGCCTATATTTGGAATTAGGGCTCCAAGTAATAAACGTCCCCTGTCGTTACTGTCATCCTTTACTCTCCTTTTTTTTCTCCCTGATGCCTATTTTATGATCTCTCTTTCTGTGTTCGCAACTTAAGGCACCTTTTCCTACAGAAGTATGTGAGTCTTGAAGGTTAGTCTGTGATCTTTCTCAATAGGGAATGGTTATCTGCATCAGCTTCAGGTCCAAGACTTTAAGCCTTATCTGAACAGGGAAGTCCCTGGAACAGTCATTGTAGAATAGCAGTTATTTTACATTAGTTCCTATATAGACTGTTATTCTTTCTGTGAGCGTCACATTCAAGCAGCTGTGTTACGGAGAGAAACGGGGGGAACAAATTTGGCATACCTACAGCACTTTGAATTTCTGCTCTCTCAGATTCATATTCATTCTGAGTGTTCCTTATTTTTGCAAATCCCGAGATTATAATTACAGTATTTTCTTGTTTCTCTAATACAGCTAGCAGTTACTTGAGCATTCAAATATGATTCTAATAGTAAGTGCATCTACTTAGTGTTGGAAAATTCAAATTATTACCTCTGTGATAATGCCAGCAGTCACTTCATGCCATTCTTTGGGGCAGGCACACATTTCCTTCAAGGAAAGCATTAAGGATGTAGATCAGGCTCACAGTTTTGAAGTTGTCTTTAATTCTGTACTGAGTTGTCCAATTTTACATTTCTGAAAGAAACCAAAGGAAAACACTGCAGGTAGGCCTAAAAGGAACAGTTTATAAATCCTACTATATTTCCCTGTAGGGCAGGGTTTGGCTGGTCTCAGCAAAACCCCCAGCATTGCACAATTGATAGGAGATGGGCTGGAACTTGTCGGCCACAGGCCCTGGGAAGAATAAGAACTTTGTTTAGGAGGAACGGGGAGTGCTGACTCGGTGTTTGTGTTAGGATTAGGGGTGGAACAGTTGTCCGGTGACTGGGAGCTATTGTTTTTGCAGGAAGGACTGTTGCAGTTAGAAGGTAAATGTTTAGAAAAAAGCCCAATCTGTGAATGCCTAATGTAGAATGTAAGCCAATCAGCCTTTGGCATATTTTAAAGAAACCAATTTGTTTGTAACACGCTATCTAGGAACTAGTATAAAAGTATGTGAAGAATCATAACAAAACCGACATTCTGCTTGCATCAAGCTGTGTCCCGTCTCTCAATCGCGGCATTTCTCTTTGATTCACCAGGTGTGATTTTGGTCCTCAGTCTCCATTTTTTGCACTTGTTTATGTTTTATTTGCACTTGTTTATGTTTTATGATGCTCACTTATGCAGAAGTATCCCTGTATTATGCCGTGTATCTGCTTCATCTGTCAGACTGAAAGCTAAGAATTGCATTTGCTTGTCCATAAAGCAATGTGTCTTTGCAAAACAGACTGGAAAATCCAGGGTTTAATTGATCCCCATCCCTGATGAGGCACCTGTGTACTAATCTTAGGGCTTTGTATGGGATAGGAGGAAGTGAGTAGTTGGGGATGTGAAGGGGAGGTTTGCAGTGCAGTGTTTGAAGGGGTCAAACCTGGAGCAGCACAGGGAGCAGCACTGTTTTTCCCAGCTGGGTTCCTGTCCTTGGAGGAAGAGAGCAGGAACCAGCCTGAGGCTCAGTGCCTTTGAAGATTCACCTGCTGTGGTGTTACCCTCCTTCCCCTGGATTTGCTGGAGCTGGGCTGCTTCCTAGCATTGAGCTGTGCTTTTGCCTTGGGAAAGCTCAGGTGGAACCATCTATGTCTCCCTTTGTTGTTCCCTTGCTACTTTTGTCTAGACTTCTGTTGAGGCTAGTGATTTATAACTCACTGATCCAGTGAAAGAATGCTCCAGCAATATAATTGTCTCTAGAATTGTTGCAAGATCTGTGCTTGAATAGGAGAATAACGAGTATGAGAAGGGTGATAGTGGGAATAAGTGAAAATGAGAAGACAAGTAGTTGCAGGGCCTGTAGGGGGGTTTCTGTAGGTATTTCAGTTTTCTCATTCCTGTTTCATGTGCATGTTTTGTTCATTTAGTGGATGTAGGGAAGGGACAAGAAAAAGGGTAGGTGGGGAGCTGAAGACATGCCTGTCACTAGATGGCACACCAAGCACGTCTGAAAGCAAGCGAAGACCTGCTGGGAGCCTTTGCAGTGGATTTTGCAGCACATGGGGCTGCTTAGCTACTTACTTGAAAGACTTTCCTCCTGTAGTAGAAAGGATAGTCCTGCCTCTTGAGCTGTGAGTCCCTGATGACCCAGGCAGCTCGGTCCTCTCCTGTCATTTAGAAGTAGTAAGAATCATGTATAAGGAAAAGCAAGGCTGTACTGAACAGCAAGCTCTTTGCTTAAACCTGCCTTTCTCTACAGCTTCAGTAGCTGCTCATTTTCAAAAGGGAAGTCTTAAAGGCTTATTAAAATGGTAAATACAATGACTGAATTCTAATAGCCTACTGCTGGGACACAAACAATACAGTGAAAAGGACTGCCTACAGTGAGTTGTGACATGCTGGGATGTGCACTAGAAATCAAACATTTCACTGAATCTTTAGGTAGTTAATTGTACTCTTTTGAGTGTTGTACATTTGACCACAGGCTATGAAAACTCATCTCACCAAAGGAATTTTTTTGCATTACTGGTAAAACACCATGTTATGTCAATCACTGTTGAAAAGAGAAATTTCATTCAATACGGTAAAAGAAAAATGCCATTTGTTTGCACGTTTCTGAATATAAATGGTCTTGAGCACTTCCAGAGGAACTCTTTCCCCATTAAGTGATTGCACCTGTTTAATATGGTTTGGATCATTATGAGGGTATTAGACTTTTATTGGGAGTCTCTCTGAATTATTGAAGCGATAATACAAAGTTATCGTGCTGGATGTAATGATGTGTTAAATGGTGTCTGTTTGCTCCCAAAGGGAAATTTGGGCTTCTGTGTCCCTGAGGGCCCCATATCCCTTTACAGAGGTAGAGCATAATCTAGGTTTGTGCGGTGTAAATGAGAACTGACTTTGGCTGCTTGTCACTCAGGCTCTTCACACTTTGCCACACAGAGAGTGTTCACAAAATTAAAACATCCAGGTCAGTCTG